ACGACCTTGACTGCAGATTCTTTCTGGTATTCCACCTTTGGACTTGATTGCATCTGCACTGAGTGAAATATTTTGCCTTCATCAGGGCAGGTCCCTCTGGAATTATGATCACACAGCCTCAAATTACGAAATGAAAGTCTCAGCTTTTCTCTGTCATCTTTTGTGATCTATCTTGTTCTGTTGTCTTTACTGTATTGTACTTGTTGCAATTTCATTCCAGTACTGTTTAAAAAGTATTGGTTATACTTATTTTTGTTAATGTACATATATTGCATACTAAATATGAATAATCTATAAACTGTAAATAGCACAGTACCTTTCGTCATGTAGAAATAAAGCAAACTATTTTCCTGTACTTAAACAATTATATCATCTTGTTATTATTTAAAAGAGATCCCACCTGCCTTTCATTCCTATTACGCCTTCGCATTATATACTATTATACATCGATTTTTATATACTACTAAAATTCAAGTCAATTTATATATGCTACTGAAAAATACAAAAATGCTCTCTTTTCATTTTGCAGTATTAATTAAAACACCCACCTACTCTGAGGTACCACCAAAATGAATTCAGAATAATTTGCATTTTTAGTTTGCCAGTACATGCATTTCCAAATTATTAATTTGGTATTTTTTTTCATAATGCAAGTCAACATTTTTATCTATTTGTATTATAATAAACAAAACTTTGATTTTTTTTTGACTTGAGAGATAAAAATCATTGGGAAATCCAGCTGGCCATAAAGAAATTCCCCTATTTGTGCCTGATGCGAGTTTTTTCAACTGGCCAAACCCATTGGATATTAAATAGCTTGCAAAATTAGTCAAATCAGATCCTAAGCCATGTTGTTACTTAGTCCAGCGAGCGAAGCTGGCCTTTGAATTTGATATTCCCTAACAACCAAATACAGAAAGATTATGATAAAACTTATTACAAAAGATGCATTAATACACAACTTGCAATTAAATTAAAATTACACCCCTTTTTAATTACTATCTGCCATTAAAGGTACATATGAAAGAATGTTGCAAGTTAAAGCTAGGACAAAAATTCACTACTAAGCTACGTTAGATTGAACAAAAGCATATTTAACTGTATTACAAGAAGGTGTAAGATTTGGAAGGGCCCACCAGCGGCCGAGCGGTAAAGTCGCTGAACACTGGTAGTTCGGTCCGAGGTTCGAATCCCGCGAACGGGCTGGCTGCATGGGCGTTTTCGTGGTTTTCCCCATGTGTAACGTGTATACGAGCCAGTTTCCCTTAGAAAGTCCTCCACGAAGGCATCCCTCCTCTTAGGCAGATAGCCCTCGAGGCTTTGCCATACTCACACACACACTTTGTAAGATTTGGAAGTTACATTTTGCCATGTATACACTCATTAACACGGAAGTCGCACCAAGAAAAGTTACTAGAGTGGCACGTGAGATATCACATACCCCAAAATTTAAAATACGATAAAAATAGTTTTATTTAGTTTTAAAGATGTTTTTCTTGTTCTCGTGTATTATAAATACGTGAATAATAATTGGGTTTCAAAAACTTAATTTCCAAAATAAAAAAATAAACATCATGCATCTAAGTTTCACTGCATCTCTAATACACAATGCTTATTTTATTTCTTCACACTTTGAACAAAATACATTCATGTGTTCTTGGCACAGAATGTTTTCACATTTTAAACAATGCATTCACGTTCTTCTGTCCTTGGCGCGAGGGCAATTTATCACATCTTTCATACTTGGTTATTTCGTATTTCATGTATTCGTTTTAATTCTTCGTCGAAAGTTCTGCTTTTGTTTTGCACGCAGTACGTCAGTTTCTTGGTAAAGTATTAATTTCCGATTCTTTGTTCAATACTTTTTTTCATTAATTGTAATGCTAAGTCCTTCAAAAACAGACTTCTGTTTCTGGTTGGTGGATTAGTGGTTGAAGGTAATATAATTCAAGCGTTTATTACAGCAACCTTCAGTGCAGGAAAGAAAATTACCATTGGCCATCTCCTGGTTATTCTGGCAATAGAATAATTGGCTTACATTTCATCCCCCATATCCACTGCTCCTTTAGTCATATTATAAAAACATAATACCGATAAATCTTTTTCTGAAACACGCAGGCAAAAAAAAAGCGGTTCTAAATGTCAACCACAGCTAGAAACTCGGCAACTAAATACAGCACAGAATTTTAGTTACACAAGTTAGGAATATTCCACTTTTATGTATGGTTGGGGTATGATACACCCCACGTGCTTTCCCGCGAGTTAATATAAATACTAAAATATATATGGCAAATATTACAGAAGAGAAAGAAAGAAGAAATTTTAAGAAAATTTTATATGCAAAATCACAAGAGTATGTGAATGACATGAAAAACATCATTTAAAAAATATAATTTTTTGATGATTTCAGTTCTTTCGCAAACTGGTATACTTCCATTTCCTTCCCAAAATCAACGCAACTTATCCATTTAATTTCAGATTCGTTTATTAATAAATCTTTAGGTGTTTCAATTCCTATTACATCATAAATATTACCACACATAAAGGAAACTAGTCCTCCTTCAGAGGTAAAAGCTTCAAATAAGATTGACTAAATCGCTGGTGTCTATAACCAGTCGCTCGCATGTACCTGTCACAATCACAGTATCACCACGAGACAAATAATTTATAATCTTAATGTAAAAAAACCTCAAAAACATGCAATTATAAGTCATGTATAGGGGTGTTGCATTTGTGTGCACCTACTTATACGTAATTACCTTCACTCTATCCAGTTTCTGTGGCAGATTAGGATTAGAGTGCCTACTGTAATGCAAAGCCCTGTTCACTGCAAGCATGCCTGCACAAATGAAGAAATCCTTCATCCAGTCCTCAGTTAAGCTGAAATAAGCTAATAAAAGTTTGCAGTAACAGCTACTAAACTAGACGGTTTGTGGCAAGTATTAAAATTTCGTATATAGTATGCTTGTGAACATAAGCTATATGCCAGGGCCATCGAAGAGAAAGAATACCTACTACTTCAACAATGAATTGCCATTATTTACAAACACTGGTGAAAAAGCAATTTTCTTACTATATAATGATTCAGTAGCAGTACTAAAGAGATAGAATGTAGATCACCATAACACCATTCATAAGGATATCAACAGCAAATATCCATCAGGTTTGTTTTACCTAGGCAAAGTTCAATTACTAACGTTTTCTCTAAAATCTCAACAAAGCAGCCTAAAAAATGAATCACAAAATCACATAGAGGCAAGTTAGTTATATTTGTGCATCACATAAAAGGTATATTAAGACAGGATCATTGTGAAGGAAGCTATGCTGAAAATGTCAAATATTATGAATTTAAAAACAAAAATGAAATAACCTCAGCTATAAAAGATATGCCTCTGTGCTGAAACATAATAGCACAAGTGGATGGTATGAAGTGAATGACATCTATGTAAAAATGATTTGGAAAAAATGCACGTATTTTCCCCTGCAGTTGTGTTTCGCAACTTCTCCGTGAAAGAAGCATTGGTGACCATGTTGATTTCAGCAAAACACACTTGAGTGCAAGGCATACATGATGCAGTTCAAGAGTAAGAAGAACTGTCAAATGTCAGAATTCGATAGAAGCAGGATCGTTACTTATCGGGAGAATGGATTACTGTTCCATGATATCGCCCGTCGCATTGCCCGACATCCAACTACTGTCATGCAAACCTAGGATCAGTGGGTTGCTGAGGGTCATACTGAATGATTGAGACAACAGACCTATTGTGAGGTCAACCCTGCAAAACTTTACAACCACGTCATTGACCATTAGTCCGGAAATGGACATGTTTGCAGCAGAGTGACCATACTTCAGCTTCCCTTGACAATGCAGCATAGAGAGACAAAGACACTGGTGCGCCAAACGACAAAGATGAGTACAGGAGTGGCACAATGTCGCCTTTTCAAACAAGTCCCAGTTCTACATGCAGTATTCTGATGGCCATATGATGTCTGGAGGCTCTGAGGAGACGACACGTCGCCTACTTGCATTCGATATTGGCATGCCCTGGCACTTGTGATGGTTTGGATAAACACCGAGTACACGACACACATATCTCTAGTTCGGATGAACGGTAATTTGAACTCAAATCGGTACATTCCTAATATCTCAGGTCCAGTGATTGTGCACTATCTTCGAGGTCTGCCAAACAGCATCTTCCAAGAAGATAATACAAGACCAAATGTTGCACATCTAGTTCTGACCTTCCTCGATACACAGAATATTCAACTGCTGCCCTGGTCTGCATGGTTTGCAGATGTCACCCACTGGAACATTGATAGCAGACAGACTAGCCCACAACCCTTCTTCAGCTAATACAGTAGATGAAGTGTGGTATACACTTAAAGCAGCATGGAACGAGTTGCCCATTTCTATCATCCAAGCCCAATTCCACTCCATGTATAACAGGGTAAGGGCCGTTTTAGCTGCTTCTACTAATTTCGGATCCCCAAACTCTTTACAAATTTAATCATTTCGCCTTCATGCCATACTGTTTACGTACACTAAATATCTTTTTTGTAGTTGCTTTCCTTCATAGTGTTGCAATTTTAATGGCCAGCAGTCTATATTTGAATTCATGCTGCATAGTCAATATGGTAAGCTTCTACTACATCAAGCAGATCCAAGTGTTAAAGTATCACAGCATGCATCTCCCACTCCCACATCCAGCACATATGAAAATTACTATACTCAATTTTGAGTCATTTTATCCAACTATAAAACTGAAATTATCACTCAGTGTTACAATATTTCAGCTGTTCCACCTAGGAACTTAAGTTTCTATTTTTGTAACAGATAACGGTTGTTTTTGCATCCCAATGAATATGTTAATTTTTTATGGCAATCAGAGTAATTACTGATCTGAAATTACTTAAATGTTTTGATATTAATATTTGCTATGGAAAACTTCCATTGAAGCTGATTCTTAATGGTGAATGAAGTGAAAAAAACACAGACTCAATAATCAGCATTAATTCTTTAATTCACAGCAAGTTTTACAATAGAAAAATGGTCTCAAACCTCCCATACAATTTTTCTTCAGAGGAATTAACCATATTATACAACAAATACAAGAACTATTTGCTTTTTTTTTTTGCCATCCCACGTGATTCCAATACAAAGCCTATGTACAAGCAAAATCTTCACTTGAAATCAATCTTAAATACTAGAAGAAAAATCTCCCAGCCAAAATATAAATTTGCATGTCTGCTTTCAAATCAGTTAACTTTCCCAATGGTTGAAAGCTCTAGAATATGAGCTATCTTTAAAAGCATACACTAAGACTTTCTTTTACAAACATTATTAAAAGTAAGTGACTAATATTTAAAAGTACCAGTTTCTTTGAATTAGTTTCATTTTGAAGATAATGACTATGATAATACTTGCAGATGCCTCAAGGGCACTTAGTACTTTAAATAAATTAATTATTTACAATTTGTGAGAGTATAGAACACATTTTGGTGAGAGCTTCCCAAAGCTAGTAGTCAGACATTCACTAATAGCAGTCAGATCTCAGAATCAAATACACAAAAAGATATTGGTCTCACATTACAGTTGTGCTCTTTAATTAATCTGTGAATGGCATATTATGTATGCTATCACAGACAATACAATTTAAGTACAAAATGATTTTTTTACTATCACCCCATCGCACATGAAAAAATGCTTTAGATACAGAACAGCAATGTCCCATGTTATGCATTCAAATGCAAGGTAAGGCACTAACATACACAAAATCTAAAATAAAAAATGAGCATTTGTATTTAACGGAATGCATTCATAAAATGTTAATATTTTCAAACAATGAAGGAAAAGGCATCATCTGTAAGAAATGTAACATGATTTCTATTAGTATACTTTTATGCAAAGTGTGAAATGTTATAATGGCTAAACAACATAATATTAATTTGAACACAAACCATGAAAAATGAAAGATGAAAAAAATATGAAAGAATAGGATTTTTTACAACAGTTAAGTTTATACAGACTAGAAAATTTAATGCGAGATGGGGTGTTCAATTCAGGTGAGCTGATGAAAAGTTTGGCCTATACACTGTTCTTAAATAATATATACAATAACCACATAAGTTGCTTCTTTGAATTTCAGCAGTTATTCAATAGGTTAGTACTATCAGCTAAATCTTTCAGATATTGATTCAAATCACTACGCACACAATGAAAGAAATACATACAAGTGGAAGCACCATTAATACTAAAAAATCTCTCTAATGAAATAAATACTTTTTAAGATAATTCAAATAAATAAATGGTTAATAAAAATAAGATCTCGTAACTATACTTGAAATGTAAAATTTAACCTCAAAATAAATTAGAATAATTTTTTCCCTCTAATATCAAGCATGATTTAATTATTTTTTAACACGAGAGTCTAAATACAGATTTTATAAGCAATGTTATGCTTCAAGGATGTAAAATTGCACTACTACAGAAATTTGACAGACATTTTATACATCTTTATGAATTAAGGAACACTGTAATTTTCAAGGCAAAGATTATTTAGCCTCATAGCAAAACTTTCTTTTACACTAGATGCAAAAAATGAAAAAAGTGTAAAAGTTTTAGTATACTTAGAGGCACTTGCACATGTGCATACAGATATGCTAAATCGAAAACAATCTGATCAATAAGAGCTGAGGAATCTGAAATTTAAAATTTGACAAACACAGATTCGAGTTACAAACAACGAAAATAATTTGGCCCCTACTAACAATGAACACACATTTTCTATAGAACATAAGGCCAGTGAGCAATTACTGGAAATTGATAGAAGTATTCTTATATAATTATATGTTAACTGCAGGGGAGTATCCCATATAATTACATGTTATCTGCAGGGCAGTATATCAATAGTAAATTAACTATCAAAGAAATAAAATGAATATGTAAAAATGGAACAAAGAATGTAATATTTAGGAATATCACCAACATTTTTCTAAAATTTATCGAATTGTAAGAAAACAAATACAATAAGAAACAAACACCTGCAACTATAGAAGTATCACAGTTCAGAGATTTAGGTAAAATGAAGCAATACCACAATTTGTTTGCAGTAGAACACTTGTATATTAAAATGGTCATAATACCATAGCCTTAGCATGCTTCAGTTCTTAAAAGTGCTGAAATATAAAACTATTAATATTAAATATCACTCAACAGCTTACAGACCGCAAAGTATTACCAGCTTTCATGGATGTTTTCGTAAATACATCTAATGAGAATGTTTAAAATTAAAAAGGGTTATACAATTTGGACAAAATATCTTTCCGCATGAATTACCCGATTTATTTTCAACCATACCTCAGACATCATTCCATCAAAAGTGCATATGTATATATGGTTATATACATTATACACACAAACACACATACATACACACACACACGCACAAAGGAGAAACGCTGTGGCACATCAAAGCACCACAAACAAAATATAAAAATATTGTTACTAGATCTTTCATTTTTTATAGTTTATCCAATAACAGTGAAACTTGATTAAAAAAGGTAATTTAACAATTTTTACAATTTCTAAATGCAGTTTAATAGATCCAAATACAAAGGGATCAACTTAACCATTTATATACAAAGTGAAACACTTATATTCAAAAACAAGATATTTAAACTGAATATTCACCGGAATACTGCTTTATATTGAAAAAGGCTTGAAATTTTTATTTCCAAAGACATTTTAATTTTAGCACAATATTTCAGTTTTTGTACCACTTAAATCAAATATGACAGTTAACATCTTCAAGCCACAAGAGTTTTCTTGAGAAAGCATTTTAAATTCTCATATAATTAACAATGAAATGTTGGCTACAGTTCTTTGTATGATGCAATGCAATTAAAAAGCTAGTTTACTATAGCAAGATAATTTTACAGGCAATATTTTAAGTAAGTTAATGATGCAAATCAGTATCAACCTACTGCATTTTACCCCTAGAATGAGCAAAATGTTAAAAATTGAACTTCTACATTGCAAGTGTGGTAAAAAAATGAATAGCATCATATAAAACTAGTAACCTTGATGGCCATTATTTTCATACCATAGGCTTTGTTAATCAACCTCCTATTATTGGCAAGGCTGAAATATCAAGACAATACTACTAACCCCATTTAAGGCAAATTGGATGCACATTTCTGATATATATATATATATGTGTGTGTGGTAAAATTTTATTTTTTCCTCATATATTTAGATTTAAGCAAAACAGCAATTTAAGGAGAAAAATTTGGAACCTTAAATGGGATACTAGGAGAAGTCTAACATTGAAAAGTAAAATAAATTTTAAAAAAAAAGAGGGGGGGGCAAAGTGACAATGCAGCATGAATACCGAGAAATTTAAATAATTTAATTAGAAAATTAAACTTTTGAAATATTTATGGAAATATTAAGCATGATTTTTATAAGCATTTTTTCGTGTCAAGACACTTATTCAAACTGACAGGAGACAGCTTATAAAAATGAGAAGACTTGTCACTTTGCCTCGAAAATGCCAACATGGGAAAATGAGCTTTAGCTCAAACCGCGCTTTGGGACGGCAAAAAACACTGAAATGTCACAAATACCGCAAGAGCTACATGCATACAAGACTCTCTAAACATTAATACTTATATAAAGTTATAAATAGAAATATAGGTCCCCTTGCTGCTTTTTCTTTTACATAGTCCACACATATTTTCACTGAAAATATCAGGGAACAGCAACTTTTCAAAATGCATATCATTACAAGTACTTCCAAACATTACACAAGGACTAATAAAACAAAAATCCTCCTACTCAGACGGATATTGCTGGACTTTTATCATGGGGAAATATCCATAAACACATGTGTTCTTCAAAATGTTATGTACACACAGATCACTAAGAATTGCTATGAATTCTACCATTTCAGAGTTTACATTATAATGTAACTGATACACTAATACAGTATCTTTCACACATTCATTTTTTTTTCACACAACTCCCACAGCAATACTTTATTCAACATTCAGCTACATAAACAAATGCACTTCAACAAAATACAAAACACACAAGAAAGAATATCACTTAGAAAAGAAAGCATTTTGAGAACTTGGGAAAACCATCACACAACACACTGGGTAGTTTAAAAGCTCTCCCATCACATTTGACAGATCTGCAAATCTACAAGTTATAGTACACAACAAATAAATTAACATAAAAAGGCTTTACTGCCAAAAAAATCAACAACAAAATAAGTAGTATGATGGTATTCACAATAATATATGATATTAAAAAGACAATGTAGACAACACACTATGCTGAATATATTCGGTATGAATTTGTGTGAAGCAGCGATCAGGTGTAAAAATTCACACCTTATTAATATCTTAATGTGTATCAAACACAGATGTCAACTGAGCTTACCTCTGCGATAATTTATTCTTAAAAGGTAAAAATGTATTTTAAATACACCACTCTAAGAATGGCAAGATAAAGATGTGCAATTCTGAGCAAAAAACTGTACATAACTTAATATTACTCTGCAATAAAATACTGCTGTAGCAATGATACCATACTTTCTTAGGATCAATACTACAATAATGATCTTGTGTTAATAAAACATAAATAGCAGCAATGGGGACAGAAAAAGACTATCACTACAATATACTTAGTGCAATTAAAAAAAAAAAGAAAACCACTGGCAAATGCAACTACTGCCACACACACAGCAAAACGACATTCAAAAAGCACAATCACCATAAAGCAAAAACAAGTATTTATTAAATAAAACTGTTTTTCATTCATCATTTTCAATGCGCTTGGTGCTGCTGATAAATGCGCATTTAACAGTTTTCAAATACCAGTATTAAATTTTTAAACTAAAATAATACCTTCAAAATTTCACCTACTGTGCATGATAAATGAATCCAACAAGCATACATTTATGCATTATGACCACGGAGCACAAGTATAAACACTTCTAGTCATCAAGAAATAGAACAAATCATTGATTATATATGCTGCCAGTGGTAAGATAACTCTTTCAATTGCCCCACCAATCATTTGTAGGTGCAGCATAATTTCCACCATAGTTGCTGCGATACGTATTCATGAAATGATTGCCACTGTAAGCTGCATTGAAATTTGGAGAAGTAAAGCTGGGTGGTGGAACACTTCGGTTAGCATTGCTTCCTCCACGTTCGCGTCCAATCTGACGGTAATCTCGGGATCCAAATCCACCGGCACCATACCTGTATTGAACATTAACAGTAACATTAAATTGTTAATACAATTTATGACATTGCATAAAAATTCAAAAATTTCAAACATGGGAAAAAAATCGAGAAAAATTCATATTTAATATTACTACAGTCAAAAGTCGTTAATTCAGACACCCATAATCCGGACCTCAAAGCTAAAAACTTTCTGCGCAGGCGTAGTTTTGACGCATGCGCGTAAGACCTTTAGAGCTGCAAATATGCGTGTGCGCAAAATACATTTATGAATGCGCGTTTAATGTATAACGGACGGTACAAGCTAAGCTAAAATTATCTAATTCAGTTAATGTTGCAGATTGCGTTGTTCCTTAATCTTTGAATTGGATTCGGCTTGTTATTTTTTGCAGACTGTTAGAGCAATTTTATAAAAGTAAGCTTGAACTTTCGATTATTTCAAATAGAATTTCTGATATGTATTTACTAATATGTAAAGGATCTACAAAGCGAAAGTATGTTTCGAAGTCCATTAAACAAAAAGTGGAATTGCTTCAAAAAATGGATAAATATCCTTTGTTTATCTAAACTTTGGTTATCTTTAACGCTGCGGAGTGCAATGAATTGGAAGTTGATCTGTCAGCACTATCCTTATCTTAAGGGCAGATGTTTTTATTTTATTTGGCTTATAATTCCTTACTAAATGTAGTATTTCATCTCGATGTACTCCAATTCACTTCCGATAGCAAAGAAAGTGACAGAGGTTATTGAAAACTAAAAAATTTCGTTTGACAAATTAGTCGGTATTCTCGACACAGCAATTGACTTGAACAGCAGAACTTTGTAACTGAACAAGAAATTATGTCTGTTTATAGAATTAAATAGAATGTATTATCACATAAAAAACGAAGCAACTTAAACAACTTACATTGAAAGAAATGTTTAATAAAGTAAACAAATATTAAGCTTTTTTTTTTGTAAATTTTGATACCTTTTAGATCATAATTGTTCTTTTTCATAAATTACGGTTTCATATTTTTAATTTTACAATTTCTGCATGCCATCTTACCAGATTTAAACTGATAATCTATAATCGCCGAAGTCCCGACGAGTCCGGATTAACAACTTTTGACTGTATGCACTAAACATTTTTATAACAATAAAAAAATTCAGAATATTTACATTTTTATTACATTACATTTTATGAGAACCTTTGTTATTGGATATTGCAATGCATACTTCACTAGCTAATAAGTAGTTATTACAGTTCTGATGAAAGTATAACACTAGTCAGCAGTGAATTTGTTAATTACAATTTTTGCTAACTATTATGTACTTCTGTGTGCTGATGACAAAAATATTTTTCTTGTTTCTTCATTACTGTTGCTATCCTAACACTATGCATATCTTTGTAGCTGCACTATACACACCTCATCCTCTTTGTCTCAAAGTAAATTTAAAGCAGCAACTTTTTCTTGGGGGAGGCAGGTAGAAAACTGCACTAAACACAAAACTGCAAAGAATACAGATCCAACAAATTCTATCATGAGTTCGTGAAATTTTAGTTTTTGAGGGGAGGTACCAAAAGGTATTTTGCCAGAGTGCCAAACAGAGTAACATAGCTCAGACCAAACCAATTTTAGTGTTTTGTACCATCAGAGTTCATACACATTTCTACACATGGAAATTGAGTACATTTAAGGACCATTAATGAAAAAAATTAAGGACCTATGAGCAAATGGGAACTGAATAAATTCAATTAAAATATTATCTATACCTGAATTTCACTTTTGTAATCCGTATACTTATGCATTATTAGTAAACATGAATTAACATCATTATCGATAAGTTTGAGAATAAAATAAACTTTATTAAATTTATCAAGTAGCATTAAATATTTTAAACTTATAATAGTCGGTCATATTTAAAAGAAGATAAGTGACATTTACGTTTTACTAACAGTTAGCTTTATGTTGATTTTTTTTTTTTTTTTTTTTTTTTTTTTTGTCTCATTTTGTCACATATTTGGTCAGTCTTGAGGTTTAGTAAATAGCAGGTAGATTTTATGTCAAACGGCATAGGTTGAAATGAGAAGTAAGATCATAATCAGCATGATTCATAACAAAAGACTGAATGCTGTCATCACTGTTTGTATAGAGAGAGACCTGCTGATTAGAACAAACCTGAAAGTCCTGATGTAGGCACGGTTGGCAAGTGTTGAAAGTTAGTCAGACTCTGTTTGATGCAGTTAGTGTCGTAGCTTTGTGTAGAGTTCCAGGGGTTGTAACACAGTTAATATTCTTTAGGGTTCCAATAAGCCATTAAAGCACCAGAGGTAATAAGTTGTTTTGTATCATTTTAAGTTTCGTAAATGCAAAGAATAAGTTTTACTTGAATTTTTCCTTTTTTGAATTTTATCCTGTGACCACAGTGATTATTAATGAAAGGCAATAACTCGCTTTAATATGTACAGATAAGTTTTAAGAGTAAGCAGTTAGTTATAAATATTTAAATTAGGTAGTTTTACACTGACTACCAAAAAGTATTTGGACACCTATGCAAATGACGATATCTGCGGTCCTAAGGTACGTCACAGATTCCGCCGGTATATTGTGTAGGAAACAGCATCGGCTTTAGTCGCATGCAAGATGCCTCGCAGTCCGAAGCTCTCTGATTTCGAAAAAGGTATAATTATCGGGTATCACAAATGTGGCAGATCCTTAAGAGACATATCTAGCGATCTAAAGTACCCAATGTCGACAGTGGCCTATGTGATTAAGAAGTGGAAGGTGAGGGGTGATTGTCGGAATGTGCCCCGGGTCGGCAGACCAACGAAACTGGGGATAGAGACCGACGAGTGCTGTTAGAGAAATTTGGAAGAACCGCACCCAACCGATAGCCCTCATCTGCGAGGAGTTTCAACAGGCATCTGGGATTATTGTTTCAATGAATACCATCCGTAAGGAAGCACATCTGCTTGGTTTTCATGGTCGTGCTGCTGCCCTATAAGCCTTTGATCACAAAGTCCAACCGCACTGCTCGGTTAATGTGGTGCAAAGCACATTGAAATTGGACCGTACATCAGTGGAAACGGGTTCTTTGGAGTGACGAATCAAGGTTCACCCTTTACCGTTCAGATGGCAGGGTCTGGCGTCTACCTGGAGAACGTCTCTTGCCAGAATGCATTGTGGCAACAGTCAAGTTCGGCAAAGGTGGAATTATGGTCTGGGGGTGTTTCTCCTGGTATGGGCTGGGACCTTTGGTCCCCATTCATAGTAAGCTCAACACCGATGCCTACTGCACTATTTTGGATGACAATGTACTTCCTACGTTGTGGCAGTTTTACGGGTTGGACCCCTGTTACTTTCAGGACAACAATGCCAGTTGTCATGTTTGGACGTTAACCAAGGCTTGGTATGGTGCCAATGGAGTTCATCAAATGGACTGACCTGCCCAGAGTCCAGACCTGAACCCTATCGAGAACCTCTGGGACGAGTTGCATCGCCGAATTCAGGGGTGTACTACCCGTGCAAAATCGGTGAAGAAACTTCTATGTCTTCTCCAAGCCGAGTAGAAGAAAATACCACTAACTGTCATACAAAGACTTTTGGAAAGTATGCCCCGAAGGGTCCACGCTGTAATTACCTCTCGTGGAGGCTCTACCGACTATTGATTTTGAATAAAGTTAGTTTTTCTTTTTTATCACAGGTGTCCAAATACTTATTGGTAGTCAGCGTATAACCTTAGTCATTATAGATTTACATGACCACTATTAAATTTTATTTTTTAACAATATTTGTTAAAAAAGCCCTATTAAAATCAAAATCGAATAAACTAATCTAATTGATTCTTAAACGATATTAGGATAATTACACATTAAAAGCTACAAAACAAATGTTTTGTAACAACAACATTCAACAAAATAGTTATCTGTTATTTTAATTTGAAGCCTTCCCAGACATTTTGGCTAGTTTATATCGATTTCCTTCTCTTTAAGCATCTTTTTCTAACAATTAAAGATTTGTCTCAATATACATATCAATATTCTTGCTAGTCTTTGCATGCTTTATCTCCTAACTTGTCAACCTCTCCACAATGTAGCTATGAGGGTTTACTTGATATGGTAAAAGTTAAATACTACAAAACCCCCAACAGACACGAAGCATATTACCACCATGTCTGATGAAAGTAACTACAATATCAGACAAAGGTTTAAATAAGCCTCTTTTTTATTTAAAAAGAACTTAAAACATAAAGGCATGTTGATGCTAACAAAATCATTTACAGCTCATGGTGACGTAATTAAACAAGAACAGTCAAATTCAAACTAATAAATGTGGACTAGTGGTCATTCAGTATGTATAGAAAGAGATCATCATGACACGTGGACTTAATACATGTGATCAAAGACTACACAATTTAATTTAAATTTTAAGCTAGGCTCAGTAACTCTATCATATGAGGAAATAGAAATGGGAAATTATAATAAAGGCTGAACTCAAACAATTGGGTAATTTAAATAATAATAACTGCACATATCTTTGGAGAATAATTTTCTTTATATATTCAGTTTCTTTCTTCAACATGTTTCCTTTCATTTTAGAATTTTCGGATTTAATTAAGGATTTCTGTTATTCTAAAAAACACTAAATGCATTTAGAATGTACAGAAAAAGCGGCTAATTTGATTTCTTTAGTAATATGAACAATTAGAAGAAATTTGAAATATGTATGGTAAAGGCCGGTTACAGAGCTGATGTGGCAGAATTTTTAGAATTTTTTGTGACACACCGACAACCAAAATCTAAAAATGGCAAAACTTTTAGAATTTAGAGCAAGCATTGGAAGCAGAATTTAGGATCCACAGAGATTGCATCAGGTGGGAAAATGCCTAGTGCCAGCTATGTGTATGATACATCAAGACATATTAGATGAAGCTTTTAAATTCAAGTTTTCAATTTCTTTATTAATAAAAAAATCCCTATCTATAATGCCTGTCCATGTGATAAGATCAGAAGCATTTTTTATATTTTCCATGCTTGTGTCTAGTGAAAAGTAGAGAAAATAAAGAGAAGATAAACATGTTAAGATTCTAGTATCAGAAGTAAAACATTTAAACATTATGTTTTCATTGTTCTTTCAGACGTTCTCCAAAATGTAAGAAATTCAGCGCAAACTTTCTGTAAAATACATCCATTACGTGTTGACACCATGGAGAAATTTTTCATATTATCACATATTTCTCGAATCTTCTAGAATCGTGATATAAATCTTGTCTTCATATCCTTCTAAGCTTTCCAAGCTGCAATGTCCAAAATCCTAAAGAAAAACTATCCCTACCATTTCTGTAACAGCAAAAAGCCAAAAATATTTTGGAAAAAAAAATGGGGGGGGGGGAGTATAAAATTAATTTTATACAGAAAACTGATGCACATTCTGACAATTTTGAATATTCCGAGACAATTACATGGGAAAAACTCTTACTAAGAAAAATTTTAAATTACATAGCTAATTTTGCTTTTGCTAAGAACTGTTTCGTGCATAGCATTATACCTTCTTTATTTTTCAGCTTCAAAATATTATACAATAAATGGCCAAAATAGAACTTTATTTCATATGACAGCAAAAAATAAAAATTGTTTATTTTAATGTTATTTTTTAAATATAATTTCAATATATTACCATTATTTTAATGAAGTTTATCAATGTTATGATTTAAAAAAAAAAAAAAATCGTCGAAAAATTCTCAGATCTCAAAATCGCCAAATTTAGAACCATTCAATACAAGATTTCCCATCTCCAAAAGAGAAAAGTTTTTAAGAGATCTTTATTATTATGTTTCACTTCTTGCATATACATCAGTGAATCGCCAAAAATATTCCTCCAAAATGCTAATTTCCACTCTAAATGGCAGTCGTAAAAAGAGACAAAAATTTCAGATGATTAAAATTAAGGATCTTCTGCCAATTTTGGTCAAAATTAAGGACTTTTAAGGATCAAAAATAGATTCCAAAAAATCTAAGGACTTATAAGGACCGTACGAACCTTGTACCATGCATCCAAATACCACCCAAACATAAACTGCATCTTACACCACATATGCCTAAATATCTGATAAGAGATCCGGCTGGTTTTTCTATATGGCACAACATTCTTAAGTCCCATCAAATAGCTAATAAATTATGCTTCAATCAGCTACACATAATTTCAATATCACTAAATAGCAAAGAGTTAAAAAAATATTTCTTTCACAGACATGATGATTATTTTATAAAAAATTTCACATACCACTATGAACAATCTAATAAACTATACTGATCAGCCTGCTTCCAATTTAAAAATATGCTACGATTTTTTAAAATTTTATTCGTAATAGAATCATTATCTCCCTTAATGATTTCTCCCACTACTCCAATTCTAACTAGTAAAATGGGTTTCGCTCTACTGGCAATTTCATAATTTTGTGCCCAATGTAACAAAACTGCTTTTTCTGAAGATATTGCTTCTTAAATAATTTTGAATATTTTACCAGAATCAATATAGAACACAATTCACCTGAACCCATACTTGGCATGACATATTTATTTATCGGCAGCAAACGTTATCTCACAGTGGAGTGTGTCATATATGAATTTTTAGATTGAACATTTAATTAGCATTTATGAAAATGGTATTTAACAGGAGAGCATAAACGAATGATAAACGAGTCTTTCTGATACTGATGAAATTTTGCAGAATTGGAAAATCATAGTTATAGTGATTTTGGCATATTTATGACAGTTATTTTTAACCATTTTTATTAACGTGTTACCATTAAATAAAATCTCGGTTTAGATATATTTCCCTGAGGTCAAGTAAAAAATTACATTACTCTAAAATTGATTATTTTATAAAATTTATAATGAAAATATAATAAAATTTTAAAATTAATTATTAGCATTCCTCTCACAATATACCAAAAATTGGAACAATTGGGCCACAAATTTAATTTAAGCAATTTTTTCCCTCTAAAGTTAGGCTTAGCAGCACAAACTGTCCATACCCACAAGACCTGCCTTTTTTTTTTTTTTTTTTTTGTTAGCATGCTATTCTGAGAGAATGGCTTGATGACTGAGATGGTCATCATGAATAGATTAAAAATTTTATCAAAAGAACAACTGTTAAATAATTTTAAATATATTAAATTACTTGAAAGGAAAAAATCTATGCATTAATAAAACTACAAACCTTCTACCCCCATATTTTCGTTGGCTATTGGAGCGATGTTCGACTTGCACTTCTTTTGCTAGTGCAGCTAACCAATCGGGCAATTCTTGACGAGTTTCGGTTATGAGCTCCACTAAATCTACTGCCATATTCCTGTTCTTTTCATTGAAAAATGATGTAGCCAAACCTAATAAAGCATATACATAACATTTCATAGTTTTAATATCACACACTGATAAAGAAATTACATTTTAAAAAGTACTTTTTAATGTATTCACATTTATGTACACACTCATACACATAAAAGTAAAGCCATTGTACAGTATAAGATATTCTCGATGAAAAATTTCAATAACGCATCTTTAATAAATCATTTAAAACTCTTCAATGAATTTATAAACCCTCTTAAAAAATAAATACTATAAATGAGCATCTTAAAAGCAGAAAATTAAATAGCAGATCTTAACAAATAAGATTAGTGAATTTTATCAGAAACACTTACATGTGTAGAGCTATCACTTATTTTTTCTTTTTCAGAGAAGAGTTTAAAGAAAGATCATTACTTTGCAGCAGCATTATCAGTAATGAACAGCAATTTTTATATTTATTATGTGCACGTAATGATGAGAAGTGTTGACTCCTCAGCTACACAATGTTTTACAGAAGATGTCCAAGTTTTGCTTCTTTACACCATGTAACTTCTTTTAATTGTAAATTTTATTTATTTATGTTGTCATGGTGATTTTTTTAAAAATAATGTTAAGAATTATGTTATTTTCTACTTTCTATGTTGCAATGCATTATGACAGCTCTTAATTTTTCTTAGTTATGATGTACCTGCAAATCCTGATAAGTAATGAAGACGTGAGGTCCCTTTGACGGATGTCCCACTTTTTTTTTTTTTAATCTCCCAGATGCAAGCTGCAAAATTCCATTTAAAATACATACAGTTACACCTTTTAGTCCTCTAAATGTATAATAGATAGCAGCACTAGTATTCATTCATGGAAGTAATGGAAAAATTTTTTGCAGGTCTAATTTTGAAGCAGTTTTTTTTTTTTTTTTTTTTAAATTTCTAATGCAATTTAAATAACAACTTTTGGTGTTAGAATGAATATTTTTATGTGAAAGTTTTTTAAAAAATACATTATTTGAATTCATATATATTAATTAAGAATGGTTGAAATTAAAAGGTGGGACCAAATACGTCCCACCGCACATGTAGGAATTGCTGCTACTAGATGGCAGAACCGTTCAAATATTTTTAAATTCAAGTATCATGTTAATTTTATATGTTGATAATGCAAATTTATATTTTTTTAATAAATTGCAATAATGTTAAAACTTCAAAAATATTTAGTACTTTTTCCGAAAGAAATGAAAATATAACTTTGTAACGTGAAATGTCATTGAATACTGAATGGATATGTAAGTGTGATTCACCATAGAAAAATATCCTACGCAGAGGAAAGAGAGATGAAATGTAAATCATGACAGCCATCTAAATATCTTCCTTTTCAAACCTGTAGCAAATAAAGTAATGGAGCGAAAATCTTCTGTTTCAAATCTATTATGACATCATTAAAATTATCTAAAAAGTTGTACAGACAGCAATTTTTTTGAAAAATTATTTTTTTATTTTGCGAATATAATCAATATTTTCTAGATAATTATTCAAAAGCTTTTTTATATCTTGCATTTTCATTTGGTTGCTAAAACTAGCACTTTAGATAAGCATGATAGGAAAATTTATGCTGTAGCAAAGATGTTATTTTACTGCTGTAGGTGCACGATGGGACAAGCGCTATCCCACCATATGAATAACCTTGAAGGTTTACCTCTTCCCCTCCCCCATGAAATAACATTGTATTAGGAGCTAGTTATTTATGTGTTATTTTTTCCACAAAAATATTTTTTTAGGCAGCAAATCTCAAAGAGTTAAAAAGACAATTCAGTTTCATAGTTTTGCAGTTATGTATGATCACTTTGACTCTCAAGTGATCAAAGGTTTAGGCTTTAAACTCCTAAATTTACCAAAAAGCCCATAAGTAAGAGTTATTTTTTTAATTATTATAATTAGAAAATGACCCAATTTGTACGTTGCCTCTTTCTTCTAACATACATGCTGTTTTAATTGTCTGGACACATTTCAAGATATATCTGTGTTGTTAAATATCAAAGACAATACTTTTGAATGTACATTGTTGGCCATTAAAATTGCAACACCATGAAGGAAAGCAAATACAAAAAAGATATTTACTGCACGTAAACTGTATGGCATGAAGACAAAATTATTAAATTTGGAGGTTTACAGGGTTGTAAAATTAGCAGAAACAGCTGGCAGCTATAACAGCCCTTATCGCATTAGGCATGGAGTCAAACTGGGCAACTCATTCCATGCTGCTTCAAGTCTATGCCACACTTTATCAACTGTATTAGCTGGAGAGGGTTGGCGGGCCAGTCTCTCAGCAACCCATGACCAGATGTTCTCAAAGGGTGACAGATCTGGAGACCATGCAGGCCAGGGCAGCAATCGAATATCCTGTATATTGAGGAAAGTCAGAAACGATGTGCATCACACAGTCTTGCATTATCTTGTTGGAATGTAGCATTTGGCAGACCTTGAAGATAAGGCACAACTACTGGACATAAGATGTCAGAAATGTACCAATTCGAGTTCAAATTATCATCGATCCGAACTAGAGATGTGCGTGTTATGTACCCAGTGATTATCCCAAACCATCACATCAGGTGCAGGGCCCCTATGCCGATAATGAATACAAGGAGGCCCCAGTCCTTGGACACTCCCGACATGTATATGGCCGTCAGAATACTGCATGTAGAACTAGGACTGCTTTGAAAAGGCGACATTGTTCCACTTCTGTATCAAGCTTTGTCGTTTGGTGCACCAGAGTCATCATCTCTATGCTTCATTATCAAGGGAAGCTGAATTAATGGTCACCCTGCTGATAGTCCATAGTGCTGCAAACGTTGATGCACCTTACAAACCCATACTGGGCATACTGCAAACATGGCCCATTTCCTGACTAATGATCCCTGATGTGGTCTAAGGTTTTGCAGGGCTGACTCGCAATATTCTGTCGTCTCTGGTATTGAGATCATGCATGCTGATCAGTATAACCCCCAGCAATCCACTGATTCCATATTCCCACGACAGTGGTTGGATATCCACTACTGCGACCGGCAATATCACGGAACGATAATCTACACTTTCAATAGGCAAAAATCCTGCCTCTATCAAATTTTGAAACTTGCTGATAAACATTTCCTCTTCTTAGTCGAGGCATAACACGATATTATGAGCAAACTCCAACCTTAAAAATCACTTTCTGAATGAGAAATCCACTACACCTTTCTTTTATGCAGAGCTTCAAATGCAGTTTCTCCCTCCTACGCTGTCTAAATGCGCTGAATACTAATCATTTGCATGCAAATTTAACATTCATCAGATCATTTCTTCCTGGTGTTGTAATTTTAATGGCCAGCAGTGTATATATACAGTTTGGATCCTCTGAGAGTTAATGCAACAATTATGACAGCTTTTGGAGGAAAAATAATAACTGAAATCTATACATTTTTTATAAATACCAAAATTTACTTGCATACCCCAATTTTTCATCGTTTCATATCAAGTCTCATGAGAATCAGAAAAAATTAATGATGTTTATACAAAAACATAAAATAATTTTGCATTTCAGTTATGTATTCACCTCACTTGTTTTTTCAGGTTTTCAATGAAACACAAACAAAATTAAATACACACAAAACTATACAAATTAATATAAATAATATTAAAAGCACAAAAGTACAAACTAATTGACAAAAATAAGCTATATAAAGAGCAACAGTAAAAAGAAATCACCTAAATTTCCAACTCTGCCAGTACGACCAATTCGATGAACATATTCTTCTACATCACTTGGTAAATCAAAATTAATAACATGTTTAACGTTGGGAATATCTAAACCTCTGGCAGCAACCTATAAATGTATATCAATTAGAAAACATTTAAATGAAAATAAATCTATACAATGCTAACTTTTTTTAAGAATTAATATTACATAGTAATAACTATCCTTATAATTTATATAGAAATATTTTAATTTGAAAGAAGACAGATGAGTATAGGTTAGGTAATTTGAACTTGTCAAAGCCATGAGGGTTGTCTACACAAAAAAGGGATGCTTTTCTAAAGGAAACTGGCTCATATTCATGTTACACTGGTTTCGAACCCAAAGCAGATCAAACTACCAGAATTTAGCAGTTTTAACACTCGGCCACTGGTAGGACACCAGGCCTGTATAGAGAATGATTAAAAGTATAAAAACATGGGCCAGTAAGCACACTAACATAAAACAGATGAAAATATTTGGTACTATTCTGTTTTGAGAAACGTTAAAAAATTGCAGCGAAAATGTATGTGCAAAAATGCCAAATCTAGCGACAGCGCTCACTTAACAGCGTGCCAAATCTAACGTACGCGCCGATTTCAAATTGCGTATGTTTAGATAGTTCTAATTTCTTAAGACGCCATTGAAATACTAGTGTAAGTTGTAAATCCTTTTTTCATAACGCTATGGATTTAACAATTTGGGAATTGACCAGTGACGGAAAGTCTGCAACAGAATTTTTTCAAAGAAAAGGCATCATTCATTATAGGAAATTAGTTTGAACAACCAACGAGATTAAATTATGCTTTAGCAATAATTCAGTAGCGAAAGAGCGATGCAGGAATCTATTCAGTTATGTTCAGTCATTTTTTATATAAATTATAACAATGATCTGAAATAGTTATTTACTCTTATGCTTCCTTTTAGTTATGTTTAGCCTCTTTTATATAAATTATAATAATAAAGTATTATATGAAATTAACCTTTAATCTAAATTAAAAGAATAATCTTAAATAGTTATTTACTATCATACTTCCTTTATTGCGTTAGGGTTGCTGCAATTATTTTTGGCAGCACTGGCATCAACAATAGTTTGGCGATTTTTTACGGTCCTCAAAACTGAAAAGTACCAAATATATTTTATATCTAGAGAATTTAACAAATAAAGGTTTAAAATTGTAAGTATACATTCTGCCAACTTTTGCAGCAGTCAGACACAATTTCACTAGCTGATTACTTCTTTAGCCCGTTCAGTATGGGCGTGTCATATGTGCATCAGTAGCGAACATTACCTTACGGCCAGGTGTGTCATATTTGAATCGCCATTTAATTCACTCTACCGGACGTACCACATATGACTTTTTAGGTAGAATGTTTAATATTTTTTGTTGCCGCTAGATGTAGCTGTATTAAATTACTTAGGAATCTGTATCTAAATTACTTAGGAATATATTACATACACTTCTCAAAGGCTCTACGTAATCAGTAATCAATTGAACTAGGCACAACAGCTTTATACATGAACCCCTCCCAAACAATCTAATGGTTACTCAGAAATTTACAATATTAGATCCAAATTATTTAGGAATAAATTATGTATACTTCTCAAAGGCTTTACATAATTAGTAATAAACTACATTATGAACAAAATTATGAAATGCAAAGGAATGCTTCTTTCTGCGCTGAAAAATAAACTCACACCAAGAGAAAGGGAAGTGATGTATTCTTATGAGAAAGCTATGAATTTTACATTAATTCTATAGAAATACAAAAGTTATTTACCGCAGTTGCCACTAAGATTGGGGTGCGCCCAGTACGGAATGACCATAGAGCTTCCTCTCTCTCTTTCTGAGATCGATCACCATGAATACTAGTCACAGGATAACCTTCTTTGGATAGAAATTGCTCCAATGCATCAGCTCCTTTTTTTGTTTCCACAAATGTTAAAGTTAAAGAATCACGAGCTAAAAAATTATTTTGGTCTATTATTATAGGTTATATTTTAAACACTAACTCCCTTAATGAAAATTAAGAATAATCATATGCACCAGTATTTGACCTTTCTTGACTTACAATAGAAGTATAAAAATTTCTAAATCATTAAGCATAATTAACATTTCCATGATAAAAAATAATACATGTAATTCCATTGCAGGGTCACACAGGCAAACATTACTTTTAAAAATGGTTATAGTTTAACCAATGATGGTGAATTTATCCCATACTTTAAAAAGGAGCATAGAAACACTTATGTCATTTCATTTATTACGTCTGTTCGGTTTATATGCATTTAATGAGGATGATGTGATGAAAACTCAAAGACTTGGCAACTATGCTGGTTACTGGAATTTTATTACTTTGGAAGTGGAAAGATATTGGGATTCTCAACAGTAATGCAAAGGTAAGATTTTTTTTCTATTAAAAAAAAACATTATTATAAAGATTTCTATTAGTATTTTAAAGCAAATTAGTATTTTTAAGCAAATACTATAAGTATTTTCACACAAGAATGCTTAACTGGAGGATGTTATTGGGTAAGTAGGATAGTTCTCACAAATTTTAAACATTTTCAGGTACATGAAATAGATAAATTCCTTATGAAAATATATAACATATGTTTCCAATAAAATGAAATGATTATTATACGAGAGCTTTCTTGGAAATTACTGCACTAGACAGAGTCAGCACCACAAACCATATAAAGCGAGTGAGCCATTATCTTAAGTCCATTCTGTAAATAAGTCAATCGGTAGCCTGAGGACCGGAACTGGAATTTTCGCTTGGCTGACGTCAATCCACAGAACTGAGAGTATTTAACTTATAGTCTGAATGAAATGTGATTAAATTTAGTTTTAATGAAATGTATCGAAACATTCTAAACAAAAATATGGCTTAGCTTGCTGCCGATTGAACGGAAAGGATTGCAAATTCGGCTCCGCGCTCAACTTGTTAAATAAAAATAGGATATAATGATAATACAGTAAAATTATTTTTAACTAGTAATTTTACTATCAGGCTGTAACTTAAAAGGAAGACAATTTTTATTAAAATATCAACTCCCTCAAAACTAAACTGTGCTTCCAAATCTGTTGTTAAGTTCATTTTTCATATTACGCCTAACTGGAGACATTTTTGTTCGAGTTAAAAAAGCTGTCACTATTACTTTCATTTTCATCAAGTAGCACTTTATGCATATTAACATGTTCTTCTTTACCATTAATTATTTGCCACTTTGGCTTAATATGATTCACTACTAAATATACATTTACTGGCACTTTCCATTCTGAAACCTAAATACAAATTATTTCATAACTATATTAAGTTTACTATGCCAGTGATGAAAATGAAGAAGAATTTATGACTGCATGTAGCAGCGATGAGCTTGACATTTTCCACAGCAATTTTTATCATATCCACAATTTGTGCCACAGAGGGAAGAAATCAGTAAGATTTTAAACAAAATCAGATACTGAGTACAGTAAGCACACCTGAGTGTTAACAATGAACTTAAGACATCGGTCCAGAACAAGCAGCTGGATAAATATTTCCCACTATTGTAACCTGCCTCTGCTTACTCAATTTTTCAATTTGTGACCTTTTTCATTACATAAGAGGTACTGATGAATAAATGAAATCAAAGCTGTTATTCAACAGAAAATTATAACAATATTTTAATTACGAATTTATATATATAACAAGAATGATGCAAAAGACTGAACTCTTAGGCTACTGCCTATAAGAAAGTATATAAGAATACAAGAAATATTTGGATGACATTTTCAGGACTAACACAATTATTTATATTATACATACTTCGATTCACACAAGATAATTTATTAATACACAAAATTCCTCAACATAATAAATGTAAAAACTAATCCTGTACTAGCCAGATCTTGAACAATCAACTATGAAAGCCCCTTAGTTAATTAACCATGAAAAATATATACTTACAGTTCACAGAATTTTTAAGTCCAGCAGCATTTAGAAGATCCAACAGAAAAGACCTTTTATCATGCTCATCAACCCACACAACTTTCTGAGTTATGTTCTCTGATGTGCTGCCAACACGACCAACAGCAAGGAATATATAATTATTCAAAAAATTACGAGCAAGTTCCTAAAAAATACACATTTGTTAAAAAAAAAAAAAAAGAAAGAAAGAAAGAAAGAAACAGCATGGAAAACAATAAAAAATAAAGTAAGTCTGAAAGATACAAACCTGCACTTTTTTGGGGAATGTTGCAGAAAACATCAATGTTTGCCTTTTACCCAGAGGAGGCATATTATCTTCAAGCACAATTCGTCGAATTTGTGGCTCAAATCCCATATCCAACATTCTATCAGCTTCATCCAAAACAAGGTATCTTTAAAAAAAGGGAAAAAAAATTTAAAAAGCAATACAAATATGCATTTAATACATATTACAGAAGAATCTGGATAACTTGTGATGACAAAATTCATGAATGCCTGTCATCTGCACTCAGTAAAAAGGGAAAATTTACATTTATGGGAAAACTCACACTATGTATGCAGCACACTGATCAGCAATTTTGTTTATATGTATATGAAAATAAATTTTTCACAGTCAAAAGTCGTTAATCCGGACTCTTCCGGACTTCGGCGATTCCGGATTATCGATTTTTCCGGATTATAGATCATCAGTTTAAATCGCGTAAGATGGCATGCAGAAATTCTAAAATTAAAAATATGAAACCGTAATTTATGAAATAAAGAACAATTATGATCTAAAGGATATCAAAATTTACAAAAAAAAAAGCTTAATATTTATTTGTACTTTATTAAACATTTCTTTCAATGTAAGTTGTTTAAGTTGCTTCGTTTTATGTGATAATACTTTCTCTTTAATTCTATAAACAGACATAATTTTTTGTTCACTTACAAAGTTCCGCTGTTCAAGTCCCGTTAATTGCTGTGCCGAGAATACCGACTAACTTGTCAATCGAAATTTTTTCGTTTTCACTAACCTCTCTGTCACATTCTTCATGTCTTTATCCATTTTTTGCAGCAATTCCACTTTTTGTTTAATGGACATCAAAACATACTTTCGTTTTGTACGATCCTTTGGGAGCTCCAGAATCAAAAATTCTATTTGACATAATCGAAAGTTCAAGTTTACTTTTATAGTATTGCTCTTACAGTCTGCAAAAAATAATAAGCCGGATCCAATTCGAAAATTAAGGAACAACGCAATCATCAACATTAACTGAAATAGATAATTTTAGTTTACACCGTCCGTTATACATAAAACGCGCATGCGAAAATGTATTCTGCGCTTGCACACACGCAAATGCGCAATCGTAAGAGGTCTTACGCGCACGCGTAAACGCCTATGCGCATATGTCAACGCGGCGCATGCGCAAAAAGTTTTTAGCTTTGAGGTCTGGATTATAGATCATTCCGAATTATGGGTGTCCGAATTAACGACTTTTGACAGTACAATATTTTAAACATTTTGGTTAAAGAAGCAAAACTTATAATTGAAAATTTTTCATATGTGCATCAGTATTTGAACAATGAATACATAATTTCTTAATGAGTAGAATGTATTTTTAAATATTACCTTTAATATCAAAAACAAGATGCATATCACTCTGAATTTAAAATGAAACTGATAAATACAAAATATGCATAAAGAGTAACAATAATAATAGTTAAGTTAGAAACAAATGAAATAACAGCTTACTTGACCATTTCTAGACTGAGTTTTCCCCGCTCAATCATATCTACAAGTCGACCTGGAGTAGCAACCAATAAATGACATCCACGATCTAGATCCTTCATCTGCTGGACTGGATCAGCACCTCCATACACAACACAAGGTCGTACACGCGATCTGTATGAGAACTTGCATGCCTCATCATAAATCTGGCATGCCAATTCTCTGGTCGGAGACAGAACAAGTGCCATGGGATACTGTTTCATGCGCCCAGGATAACGAGTTTGAGGTTGGGCCTGTTGTAGAAACATCTAGCATATAACAATAACAACAGTAAATAGTGAAGACAAGGTATGTGAACCAATAAAATCAGCACAAGGGTAAATAAAGAAAACAATAAAAAATAAATGGGATATTTATACTATTTAAAGACCCCTTAAAATTTAATACGTTTCATAATCTAAAAAGAAATATATATATATACATATTCATACTGTTTACTGAATGAACCATACATTCTGAAGTTACAGTATCAAAAGCTATAGAATTTTCAAGTACAGTACAAAGCCGGAAATCAGATGTCCAATATCCCGTATGATCTAAAATACAGAACTCCGGACAATCAGCAAAAGGAAATTAAAAAAATTATTTTTTTAAATAATAAAACGTGGAGTCCTGACTCTTAACTTCATTTTGCAACTAAATAAAATACCTCCATATTGAAGAAACAATCATTTATTAGCATAAATCTGTTATGATCAATAACTTGGTTCCATAGCCACATTTTTACTCAGCATGCATCTCAAACCTAAACATTGTTGATTTTACACCTACTGAATAATTTCTCTCTCTAATGGCAATCAGGCAAATCATCATTATTTTTTGCTTCAACACAAGGCAGCTTGAGAAAGGATTCATGCAAACATGTTTAAACTTTTTTAAAAAGATTAGTAATTGAATACTACAGAGCATGGTAACCTTTCATGTGACATTATAATTGGTGATAAGACTTACTGTCTGTCTATAAGGAGAACAGCTCCTGTCGTAGTTTGGTGATTGCTATAGCACCAGAGCTTGCTTATTTCAAGTAGGGGTGAACCAAAGGAATGCTTTATTGTTATTTAGTTTTGGGTAACTGTTGGCTGATGGGGAAAAAGATTTTACCATTCGTCTTCTTGATTTCGCCCCCCAGTTGCATGAGTCTTTCCCCTTCAGCCTTATATTACCTTTAACTATTTTTATTCTTCTTGTTTCTTTTGTACTGGTATTTGTTAAAATTTGTTTCTACTTATCTTGCTTTTTGTAGTGCTTTGATAATTGCTAATTTTTTTAAAAATTCTTTTCCAGTTTAAGAAAGGTCAACTTTTAAAATCTCAGGCACGTCAAATCGTGTACAATTTTGTACTTCTGCAAATTCTTTAGCAGTTCCTCTCCCTAAAGCTCAGAAAAGAACATAAGCTTATGGAGTATCACAGTATATAATTAAAAATTAAGAGTGAAGTATCAACAATGGGCAAAAATAAACTTCTAAATACATGTGAAAAAAACTGATTAAAACTGCAAAATTGATAATTATGATAAATGTCTTATATAGCAAATAATATGACACTTCTACATCAAACAGAAAAAAATGCCATCCATATGCAAATTACTGCCTGTGCTAAGGAAAAACCAAAGCATCAGCTAAAAGTGCAGATTATGATGGGCAAATAAATGAGCTATGAAAATTTCAAAAAACGGATGCTGGAAAAGCATCTTCCAAATTTATGACCCCAAAGTGTGGTATGGATGGGCAATGCTCCATGTCGCAGATCCGAAACCCACGAATTTTGCTACAAAGCAAACAACAGGAAACTAGCTGATGAGTATCTTGATATGCTGTAATTCCAAAATGCAAGAAGTGGAAGTATTTTAACTCGACAGAATGCAATCGTCTTAAAAAATTAATCTATAAAATTGACAAGCTTATAAAATAAAATGGGCATCATGTTGTGCGTCTCCCTAATTACCACTGCGATCTAAACACAATAGAATATGTTTGGTCATCAGTTAAAAAACTGATCAGGGAAAGGAATGTAACTGGTGACTTGAGCTTAGAAAATTTTAAACACAGAAAGCTTTGGATGAAGTCACTTCCAAACAGAAAAACTTGACAATTTTTATTACGACAAGGCCGAACTTCTAAAGAGCTAGTGGATGAATTAATGATTCAAACTGGCAGTAGCAATTCAGTCAGATTGAAAACAAACAGAATCTTGTGACAATGATTCAGACGACTTTTCAGATACACATCTCTACAAACACTGGCCAGAGTGGATAGATATTGGTAAAGTTCAACTTGGCTCCAGTTCCGGCAAATGGTTTGGCTGCATAGGAATTTTTATGGTTTATATTGTAAGTAACGTAGACAGTGAGTCATGTTCCCAAAGAAAGTAATCCACAAAGGCGTCTCTAATTTTCAACCGATACCCCTCTTATGTTCTGCCATATAATTAGATATATCAAACCAAATTTCTCATATCAAAACAGGAGAGAAGAAATATTTTAATTGTGGCTGCTGAGAACTTTGTGGATGATATTTTTAGATTCAGTATTTTCTTTGCCAGAATATAAATGAAAGACTACCAAAGTGGGCAACATTGAGTCTTTAGGAAAGCCAAGACCTCCTTGCGGATAATAAGGAACACTGCATGGTTGATTTATTTTCCATTGTGTTTTTGGGGCCCACAATCCATGCCATACTTTGCGTAAAAATGAATTTTTTATCTTAAATGAAAATTATGATTTTATTATAAAAATATTGATACAAAATTATGTTAATACAACAAAGCTAACTGTAGTTATAAAATCGAAATTTTATATAATTTTAAATATAAAATAGGTAGCCAAATAATTGAAAAGACCTTAACCTCAAAACACATGAAGAATAATGTGATTTCAAATTGTATTCTTAATTAAACTGAAGGGGCAAAAAAAAAAAATTTTTTTTTCTAAATTAAGTTATTCAAATAAATCCCCGTCAGATTTTAACGGCTGCATACATTTATTTTTTATTCCGTTAAAACTTTTGAATGAAAATTACGAATATCAATTATGATCACAGTGACATTAATAAGGAAAAATTTCTTGTTTAGAGAGAAGTATTTAAACTTTTTTTTTTTTCCATCATTGCTAGAGAAAACAAAATAAGAAGGTGGAAAGGCAGTCCTTGTAAATTTTTGCGTGTTTATTCTAAAATACGATCTCCAGAACAAAATTCCAAATATTGTAATACTATTCCGAGCTTTCCTCATAATTGTTGCTGTTGGCTGCAAAATGAGTTTTCCAAACGAAAAACTTTTAGAAAGTACTTTAGTACAAATGTAAAAGTTTATTTTGCATTTAGTATAAGTATTTAAAAAAATATAAAAATTTATTTTGCATTTACGAAATAAACGTGTCTATACTACGTTACAGAAAATTAGGCAATAAAGTAACACCTCTAAGATGCCATCAGTGGTTTTGCAACCCTCCCAAAACAAACATGAAGCAAAATAATAGCATAATTTTTCTTCAAAAATAAGCATACAGTTTAACTTTATCAAGTTATTAGTCCAAAGGGACATTGTTCCTGAGGGACTACTGTTTTTGTTTTGCGTCGAATCACTCAGAATGTCTAACTTTTCAAAATATTGCCACCAAATATTATTGCCTTATATTATATTTGAAGAAATTAAATAATAAAGGATCTGCACAAATGTGTGTAATACACATTTATGCAAAACAACGGTTCAGAGAGCCATCAAATTTTTAATGATGTAATCCTACTGCGAATATAGGCATCCGGAAACCCAAATTTGAAATTTGTTTTATTATCGATCTCCTACTTTGAAAATCATTAACGAATTTCTGATAAACAAACTCAAGGATTTCAAAACGAGAAATGGCAACGCTGTACAGAAAAAACGTTTTTATCTCCAGCGAGCGAGATTGTGTCGAAAAATATGTTAATTTAAAATTATTTTGCGATATTGCTCTCGAAATTAATTTAATGGTTTAAGTACAAAGAACATGATATTTAATAAAGGTCACACAAAATGTATAAAAAAAAAAAAAAAAGCCCCTTTGGACGTAATTTAAGTTATGAAACCTTTCAGATTTTCTTTTTACTGATTTGTACATTAAGAGGAAAGGCAAATTCAGACACAGCCTAACGTGACAAAATCAGATACTGTTTCTGGTTAAAAAAGTTCTATCTACGACATTGAATATTAATTTTCAGAAATTGGATGTTGGAGGTCGACAACAAAGGGCAATGAGCATTTTACTTGGAACTAAAATAAAAAATGAAAATCGCCAGCTCGTCATTAAACGTGGCAAACTGAAAAGTAATTCTTCAAGAAATATGGGTTAAGGCTTGTTTCCATGGGAACCGACTGCTTTCCCTGATACAGTAGCTGCACTGTAAAGTGTTGACAAGAAAAAATTTAACAAATTTCTATCCATATGCAAAAAACAGATTTTGTAAATGATACTCGTAGGCTAAAAAATTATATTTAGTACTGTTTGATTAGTTTGTTTAGTCTGATTTGCTTTTCAGATAAGCCAATGCAATTCAGGCTTAACTTCATCAGTGTGTGACAGCCAAGAAGAAATTTAACAGAACATGTCTTTAGACACCAATTACGTGATACAACATTCAATGGCAAACCTAACTAAGCTTCATAATGATAGTCATGAAATTGAAGTTTTTCAAATTTTGTAAACAAAAAATTTTTCAGTTAATGCAAATCAACTACTGGACAGCAAGGGCAAGATCTGCAGTATTTTTCTTAAATCCAAAAAGTGTTGCTACCGTTTGTAAAGAAAATGGCAAAGAAATTTACAACAAAAACATTTTGATTGAAAATTTAGTGAAAAATCTCCACATGGCAATTACAGAACCTGAAGAATGGAACTTTGTAAATTACGTCTCTCCCCCTCCTTTTTTTTTTTGCATTGAAAGAAATCTTTAAAGCAAACAAATATTCAGCTTTTTTTTTTTTAAATAAATTTAGATTCCTTAAAAGTCATAAATGTTTTATTATTACATAAAACACTATTTCATACTTTTATTTTCATAATTCCTATGTTATCTTACTAGATTTAAACTAGATCTAATATCCGGAATCTCCAAAGTCCTTACCAGTCTGAATTTTTGACTTTGTACTGTACTTTAGAATGTAACTAAAAAAAGTGTCCATATTCTTGATGTCATTTCATAAATGCAAAGCATGCCATATTTGCATGAATATGTATTTTTATTAAGTATATTACTTAACCCTCCAACCAACCAAGCCTTGTACATGATTTTAAAAATACTTACAATAACGTTAAGGAAGCTAATATACTAAGTAGTAAGATTCATCTAGCTCATACCGATTTGACAGAACTAGTTATAAAAACTGAACTTAAATACTTATTTAGGTCAATAATCAATATTTATTACCTAATTATATAATTCAGGCAAAAATCAGTTCTTAAAAATTCTTAACCTCACTACTCCTGACGAAATACATTCAAATTAAAGCAGTAATCAGAAAAAACAATCCTGAAACTATAACCAAGTAAAAAAAACTTTCCATGGCTTTTATAGTAAAAGTGAAGGCTAAAATCTTGGCTGCTTGGAAGGGTTAAGACCTAATTATATTCAACTGGGGAGTTAATTACCACAGGTAAATTTTTTGGAGGCCCTTCTTCAAAAATCTGATTAAGTATAGGCATCAGAAAAGCAGCTGTTTTACCAGAACCTAAATAAAATTTTAAAAATTACACATTACTATTAAATAAGAACAAGAATACAGAAAATTTTAAAATATGAAATAGAAATATATTTACCTGTCTGAGCACAAGCCATAAGATCTCTCTTGCTTAATATAATAGGCATAGCATGCTTCTGTACAGGAGTGGGGCTTTTATAGCTAGCCATTTCAATGTTAAATCGAACAAGTTCAGTCAAAGGCATTTCTAGAAACTAGAAAGATAGTGTTCAGTTAGTTTTTACTGATAATCATTAAATTCCATCAGTAAATGGAAATCACATCTAAAATATTTAAATACATATTATTCAAGTTATAAAGCATTGTTTAACTTATTCAGAGAATACACAGAAAGAAATATAAACACTATGAAATTCCCCTAAGACTATAAACCCATTGCTACAAGCAATTTTGGTCTTGCGAAGATATTTTTCAATGGTCCTTTCAATAAAAAATGTTTTTAAAATATAAGAAATACTGATACTTCTAAAAGTGTTATCTACAAAAGATAGTTGTCACAAGAGGTACTGTACAGGAATGCCTCATTTAAAAACTCATTAAAAGATATAAAATGCAGAGTTAAATGAAATAGTATTAAACATTAATCTTTAGCTAGTTAAATTCTTGTAATTAAGAATATACCGTAATTTCCGGAAGAAACGCCGCAGCATTTAAGTGTTTAAAACTTAAATTTTCAGCGGGTGTGACGTTTAGGTGTACTAAAAATAAAATATTTCCTATGATGGTCATTGTACATAGTTTGGATGGCCTTGTCATTGTACATAGACTAGTGCTGTTCCCACACAAAAGACCACTCAGTTGCTTTTTCCGAACAATATTTTGTTTACATTCTTTCCCTTGAACAGATCTACATGCCTTATTCACCCTAAACTGGGTCTCAGAACAATAACATTCTTCCCCCTTTCAAATGAACATTCTCATCAGTTTAAATAGTCTCTCTCTCCTCTGCCATTCGATGAATCCGGACACGACTCCACCTGCCTTACAATAACGAACTCTGACTGGCATCATTTGGGTACAAGTACTTGTTGGATAGTTTTTAAGTAAGAAGGGGGAAAGTTTTTGAAAATGGCACCTAAACGGCACAGAAGCTATACCGCTGGTTTTAAACTTAATGTAATTTCACGTGCTGAACAAATTGGAAATAGAGCAGCGGCTCGAGAGTTTGAAGTGGACAAGAGATGTATTCGACGTTGAAAAACTGAAAAAGAACTTAAAAATATGGCACAATAGAAACGAGCCACAAGAAGTGGTATTGTAATGTGGCCGAATCTAGAGGATGACCTTGCAAACTGGATAAATGAGCAACGAGGAAAGGGAATGGCAATTTCGACTGTAAAAATTTGCTTACAAACAAAATTTATAGCAAAACAAATGAACATAAATGATTTCAAAGGAGGGCCTTGCTGGTGTAGCAGATTTATGAAAAGAAAAAATATTTCTGTGTGTACTAGAACAATAGTCGGGCAACAATTTCCAATGGACTGGCAGGATAAAAAGGCATCTTTTCGAAAATATGTGACAGATATTATTGACAATAAAAACTTCTTCGATCTCAGATAATAAATATGGATGAAACGGCGTTAGCTTTTGACTCTCCTGCAAACAGAACTGTTGATGAAACTGGTGCAAAAACTGTATCTGTGCTTACGACGGGGCATGAAAGAACGTCATTTACATGTGTGTTAGCTTGTGCCGTAAACAGTGATAAGTTAAAGCCGATGATAATTTTTAAACGAAAGACTATTTCAAAGGGAGATTTTCCTAATGATGTAATTATTTGTGCAAACGAGAACGGCTGGATGTGTGAAACAATCGTGCATGAGTGGCTACAAAAAGTTTGGCAGTGTCGTAAGGGATCTTTTTTTCAATCAAAAGGGTTATTGATAATGGATTCCATGCGTGCTCATTTACTTGAATCAGTAAAAACCAGATGTGAAAAATTGTCTACGACCGTAGCAATAATTCCTGGTGGTATGACAAAAATCTTACAACCATTAGATTTGTCAGGTAATAAATCCTTCAAAGCTGAAAGCGGTGGGAGTGTTGGATGAGTGAAGGATTGCATACGCATACCAAAAGCGGTAAAATGCGTAGAGCATCTTATGAAGTTGCAAAGTGGGTAGGAAATGCGTGGAAATCGGTAAAAACATTGGAAATAATAGCAGGTTTCAAAGAAGCTGAAATTAAATCCTTAGATAAAGAGACTGTAAACCAAGAGTATGAATGTGACGATCTGGAAGACTTGGAGTTGAATCAGGATTTACTAAAACTTTTTAATTCAGATAGTGAAGAATCAGATTTTGATGGCTTCATATGATGTATAGTTTGCTGCAATTCCTTTTGTAAGCTTTTGTAAGTAAAATTTAAAACTTCCTTTTGTCATCCAAATTTAATATGTCGTTGTTGCAACATTTTTTATAATATAGTCCGAGTATTACAAATATGGACTTCTTTAATGGGTAAATCTAAGTATATATATGAACGTAAATATATTTTCAACATTTCTTACCATTACTTTATTTTTAAGTTATGGTTTTATTTCATGCATTTTTCTTAACTGATATGTCATATATCAGGACTTAGGTTGAGATTTTGCATCTATATGGCCCACGACGATGTCACGCGCAATTTAATCTATTGCGGCCTTTCTGTGCAATTTTTATTTTTTCCCCGCCATTTTTCTCGAGTGCGGCGTTTACGCTGATGTGGCCTTTCTTCCGGATATTACGGTAAGCTAACTGCTATTTCACTGTTTTTCTCTTGTGTTAAAATAAAGATAAAACTTTTGAATCTGCCTCATTATCGAAAAACAAGCAGTGGTGTATTTATACGACTCATTATACTGTTATGCACACTCAAAACATTGAAAGAGATTTAGGTTAAGGAAAATGGCACTGAAACGCAGAGCATCACATTACACCACTCTTACTCACATTTAAGAGAATTTATATTACGACAAGTTTGTAAAAAAGATTATTTTGTTGCTATTTTAAATGCCACTAGGGAATACTGGCCTCTGGAATAATTGGCATGTATATTTTAATGAATTCACCAGATAATCTCAAAGTTTGAGTTTATATTTATTCAAGGTTTTTCTTATGCCATATTCATAACTTGTATCTGATTACCTAATTAAATAAAGAGCAATCTGTGACTATCCAGCTCCTTTAAACTGCTGCCAGAATGGCAGACAGGATCTTTGTCCATTTTTATGGTTGAAGGAAAATACATAAGTACCAAAGTACATACACTGTTAAAAAAAAAAAAAAAAAAAAAAAAAAAAAAAAAAAAAACCACATTCACCCCATTTACTAATTCTGTCATTTGTAAAGCAAGAGGGTGAAATTATGTGAGGATTTTAATTTCTGAAGAACACTTACAGTAAGAACAGAAATTAAAAGTTTTGATGGATAAACTATAAATAATTAACACAATATTATTTGCCCCACCAGCGGCCGAGCGGTAAAGTCACTGAACACAGGTAGTTCGGTTCAAGGTTCGAATCCCACGAACGAGCTGGCTGCATGGGCATTTTCGTGGTTTTCCCCATGTGTAACGTGTATACGAGCCACTTTCCCTTAGAAAGTCCTCCACGAAGGCATCCCTCATCTTAGGCAGATAGCCCTAGTGGGCTTTGCCATAAATAAACCAAACCCAATATTATTTCTTTAACAGAAATATATACTAATAAAAATATATAGTAAAATTAACAATAAACTATCTAAAAGACGTCTTCAATTCTATTTCCCTGTAACTTAAATTATGTTCATTCTTATTATCTCTGCTACACCTTTATTGCAGGTGAACTTGCCGACTCGGTGAAATCTTAGATTAAATAACACTTCATGTTTGCTTTGCTGTGGTGGGTCAGTTCTTGTATTTGGCAGGTTGTATTGTTCTTGTATTTGGCAGGTATTTTCCTTTTAAGTTCAACACTTAAAAGGAAAAGGTTCAGCATGACCTTCACATATAGTTTGTCAGTAAAACTAAAATAATCACTACATGGATGAATCCATTTTTTAAAATCATGATAGCTGGTTCTCAACACATTGAGGAAAGGGAAGCCAAAACTAAAAAGCTAGACAGGAAATATGTGAGGAAACATGGCATATTTTATTAGAGAAGTAAAATCCAATTTTTTTTTTAGATCCTCACTAAATATAAAAGGCTATATATATATATTCTTCTTGCTTCTCATCACAGAAGTTCAATATAATATCAATAACACAATGACCTTGAATAGTTACTTTCCAATTTGGAAATCCAGAGTTCGTATTTTAGACTCGTTCAGCAAATAACTTTACTGCAAAAGTTCCACTTTTGGAAGGGTTTTCCATCATCAAATTCATATACTTGCTATTAATAGCTATCATACAGTACTTCACAAATGAATTCAACAATCCCTGCCATGTCTATTTCATTGAAAATTCAATGGCTACAATCTGATCAACAGCTATGACCAGATATTGATGAGATTGCAGGCACTGGACATCGTACAGCTACACCATTACAATCCGATGCAAAATGAAACAAAAGTTCTCTCTTTATAGCTCTCGTATTAATCATTATTTACTCACTTCTAGAACTCCTAAAACCAGGTATTTTGTATTACTTGCTTACAAATGAATTTTTGATACAATTTTTAAAATTTATGAAAACTTCTCATGTTAAGAGACAAACGTAAAATTCTAACATCTTCATGAATGCCATTTATGCTCGTGAAGACTGAAAGCACAGGTTTGGGTTCCCATTTCTCGTTTTTTATGAAAGTACTTTCACATATCTTTGTGCTAATAAATCTATTTTATTCCACATGTAACTTATTTGATGGGTATGCATGCACTATCTCAAAATAAGTTGCTTAATTATAATCTCTGAGGGAGACTTGCCATATTAAGTATACAATAACCATCTTAATTCGAAAACATGCTAACCATAAGAGTATATGCCATTACTTGAGATCATGATCGCATGGCTTAATATGACAAAAAAATTCAATGAAAAATTTAATCTTGTGAAAACGGAAATTAAAAATATTTCTTATGTACTGAGCTGTAACTTGTAGAATCAAGCTACAATTTTTATTTATACACATTTGTGTTGAAAAGTGTGAGCAGCATTTATGCCATATACTACAGTCTGAAAAGTTCAACATGTAACTTCTCCAGATATACGTATCCATGCATTCTTCAACAACTTGCAAGTAACATTTTAAAATTCTATAAATTACAAGCAATTGTAGTTTAAATTTATTGAAAGTTGATATAAAAAAACTTTGAGTTCAACAGCAAATAATGAATAAAGTTAAATATCACAGTTCACATTGAATGGGTTATTTTAATTCTGATTTTCATGTACCAACTTACATAAATTTTATATAAAGGGAAAAATATTTACAGCAGCTGCAGCGAAATGATAGCAAAGTTTAGGAAATTCAAAAGATAATTATAAATATGTGAATATGATTTATATATGCAAGATAAAAAATATGAAAGCAAACTTCTAAATTTAATTCACTTAAACCTCTTATTTTCTATTTCGTTTGGGAACTTCATTACCTGTCCTAAAAATAGCACTCAAGTCTACACTGCGTCATTCAAATTAATCATGCGATCTTACGTAACCCTTAATGAGATGCCTCTTGACCAATCGCCGAATTGCAAACCAAAACTTTTCTCTTCGCGTGCTTCCACCTTACATAACTACACACTTTAGCTCTGCTCTCTCTTAATTCTCTGCTAAGATGTAATTTCGCTGGCTTGCTTTCTATCTCAACAATATCAAAAATGTAAATCTTCTGTGGAAAGGCATGACTAGAATGCCAAGTGATTGTGGTCACAAATATTAATTGCAAATAAAAATGGAATTAAAATTGCCTCCACTGCCAAGTTATTCAGATACTACGCAATCAAAATTCTTCTTCAATATGGATATATGGATCTAAGCACATATTGACACTGCTCCGGCTTTTCCTTGTGCTTTTATTATTCCATATATATATATTTTCAAGAAAGAGTACTTTTCATTACACTTCACTTCTGGAACAAATATCTATTTATAACCTAACAATGTTTCAGATTTTTCCATGTTATACGAGGTAAAAAATGAATAAATGTAATTAATAAAAATTCCATACATTGCTAATCTGTTCAGGACAATCTTCTCCAGTGGCTTCCACAGGAATATCTTCATATTTTTCAAAGTTTATACCAGTGTGTCCTTGACCAAAAAGCTGCCTGAAAAAAACATGAAGGGGGAAGGCTCACTTTAAAGCAAAAATACATTTTCATAACTACAAGACAGTTTAAAACAAGAACAATTTTTATCTAACAAACATTGCAATTTAAATAAATTTTGAACATCCAACACAAAAGGCTTTTTGCTTTGATCCTCAGAAAAGCATTATTTGCAAGTTCTGACACAGATATGCTGCTGGCAAATTTTTAAATTTACCCTTAAGAATCCGAATGACATTAAAGAAAAACTGAGAATTAACTGTTTATACTCAGTTAAGTACAACAAGAAAAGTTTTTAAAAGTTAAAAAGCTGCACTTCTGCCTGTACTTTTTATTAGTATGATTTTTAAACTGGAATTTACATCACATGTTAAACAAGTAAAAACATCTAAAAATCATAGAGCATACCAACCAGAGCTTCCATAAAGTTTCATATACTAATTTATTTAATACATAATTATTTAAGTAATGAAAAAAATCTAGTTAACCTTTTTTAATTTTTAGTTTAAAAGTCTTCAGCAAGCTCATTAAAATCTGGTATTTTCTAATTGGATTTATACTAAATAAAACAATTTTTTAAAATTTAATGGTTTCATATATTTACAAATGCTACATATCATACTTGAAAGATATATTGATCAGTAATTTTATGCACGTTTTTATGCACAGTAAATTTATGCACGTTTTTAAAGATTAACGAATGTACAATTTACCTTTCGACACGCTCATCTCTTGGAAGAGGACGAGACCAATCTTCCTCTTCATCATCATTCCTTTGCAAGCCATTTCGACGATCCCAACGATTGCAATCTCTACTGTCAACCTTTGCTTCTGAATCTCTCCATGTCCTTCCACTTTAAAGAAAAGATTTACAACATCATATTTAATATTAGAACGTATAAAGTAAAATAACATAAAGTTAAATAAATTAAAAAGTAGTAATATAAAGTATGCATTTATTAAAGGCAGTATTTAACATTAAGTGTAATCAACTTTCCATTTAAAAAAAAAAAAAAAAAAAAAGATCTTCAGATTTGCAGTTTTTTCAAAAAACGGCACACAATTTTACATACTGCCTTACCTCCCTATTTGCCACCGGATTTATATTCTAATAAAATCCATATTGGTATATAATTAGATGATAGGAAAATACATTGCCATTATCAATCAATCTCACTAAGAGCAACTTTTACCCTTAAACACTATAAAAGATAACTAGGAAATTAAAATATAAATATTAATAAAATGAAGTTGAAAAGTAAGGCTCTTATTTTGAAGCATGTCAGAACAAAAGAGGCAAGTAATGATTTTCACGAGTACTGATCCACAACTGAATAAGTAATTTCTTGAAAATATTTTGTGTTGAAGGATTTCTTTAAAAATATTTTTCACAGGAAACGGAACAAATGGAGGAAAAGTTTTAATTATTATACATTTCACAATTATATTTATTACATTAAATACTTGCTTATTATTATTAATTCATACCAAAGAGCCAAAGTAACAAATAATGGCAAGTGCACAAGTTCGGGGAAACAACACATAAAACCTGCTATTAGTTTTAACATATTCTTCAGATGCAAATTTCAAAAAGTTTTTTTTTTTTAAGCTGTGATGGTATATAAGAATCATGTTTCTCATAAAGTAATATTTTAACACACTTAGTCCATCACTGCTTTCAGAAAACAGGCCATGGTGGTGGTGGTGGGGGAAAAATTACTGGAAAGTTTGTTTTGGTTGAGATTACCACACATTATCCATTTGGTATTAGCTAAAATAGAAGCAATATGACTCGCTGATAATTTTAATCCTGATGATAGATAAGAATAATATGTGAATAAATATTTCATAATTGAAAACACTTCGTTGAAAAACGAACTTGTATGTTAATTATATTTCATCACTGATATAGAAAATTTTTCACTCACCAATAATACATCTACCCTGACTTAAAATGCAGGTTGTCAACAAAATTCAAATAAGTGTGTTTTTTCATCTACAAGTTCGAAAGTTCTAATGTGTGATGAAATCAAATGTGGTATTACTTAAATTGAATTAAAAGCTAATCTGGTTAAGAAATTTTGTTGCTTATCTCACCAATATTTGTCGAGAAAAGGGGAGGTTTGCCTTAACTCCTTTGAAGGGAACCGGTATATTTGTTTGCCAATTTTTTAACCTCCGAAAAAATGCTAATTTTTCTACACCAAAAGCTATAATTGTGTCTAGTGTTTTCTTTCAATTCTAAATGGCAACATCACCCTATGAATGCTCAATATTTTACAGTTATGACATTAATATACCTCGTTACAAGGTATCAATGTTGGAAGATTGATAAATTCTATTGGAGGGAAAGAAAAAATTCAAAATCTGCAAATATATGATGTAATCATTATGAATCTTATATTTTACTTCATTTCAGTCAGAAGTGATAATTAACAGACGATTATTTATATGATTTTAAAACCAGGTATATAATATATACCAGCGCCCACACTGAGGGCACCACGCCAATAGATGGCAGCACAAGTCTTCCCTTTTCTACTCCTGTGATATGACAGAATTTCTTTATTAGTATAACAGTTTGTGATAATGTAATAATTTTTCATGATTAATTTATAAGTCATTTAGGATTCAATATTATGTTCGTGGAGGAATGGGGAGTTTATTGACGCTGCGCTAGGACTGAATACAAGTATATTAGTTTCATTTATTCTTTTTGTGTACTCAGCTCAAGTTTCATTCCTCTGTGTTTAGCTAAAATTTTTATTTCAGCACTTAATCCCTTTCCCAAGAGAAAGACTCCTCAATTTCAAAATTGCCGTCTGGGGTCAAAACTTTACACAATTGTCGGGGTTAAACATAGCATGCTAGCCACCTGTTGCTTCCTGTTTTCCAAAATCCTAGAATGCAAGAAAATGAAAAGAGGTGATTGACAACCAATTTGTCATTCCGGAGTCACGCCTTCTTCCTTTTGTGAGGTGTGATAAGATCACACAAAGGGAAAGCTCACTTAAAATGGAAATGTACTTAAGGTCCATCTCATAGTGTAATCACAAAAACTGCTAGTTTGAAAGCATGCTTTTATTCTTTAGAGAAATTCTTTTTAATTCTTTGTTAATTTCAGATGAAAAAACTAAAGAAAGAAATTGAAATTGCTTTGTTGATACAAATAGATTGTTTCGGAAATAAATTTTCACGGTTCGTGAAAGGAGGAAAAATATTTCTAAGGCCCGTTTTTAGATGCAAACTAAAATTTATCCAAAGTTGAAAAAGAGCCCTATGAAGCCAAAGGGGTTGAAAATCAGAATAAGAGCTTTGAGGTGTATCAGATAATAAAATTGTTTAATGGCGTTTCTTCCTGAACAAAAGGATATATTACAACCTATATTTACAAAAAATAAAAAAAGGGACTCTTACGGTCCTCGATGATCTAAAGTGTGTGTGCGTGGAGGGGGGGGGGATTCTTTGTATCATAGTATGAAGCATGGTGTTTTTCACATATTTCACATATATGAGTGCTTGAATATAATTATGTAAGTCTAAAGAAAATTTTTTTTTAAATTTCGGCAGATATTTAAAATTTTAAATACAAATTTATGTTTTTATGCACTTTGATGATTCAACCCAGCTGAACATACTTATGTAAAATATGGGTAAAAAGCTTTTCAACTTGATTTAAATTCAATATTATTTTATAAAAAAATTTAGCAAATATAACACTGCATAAAATACAACTTCAAATATGCAACATACTTTCTCAACTGAGTCGGTCGTAGTGCTTCATTTTCCAATTTTTTAAATTTTCGGCTGAGTTACATCTGCTTGTAATATTATACTAGTTCAGTTACAGCATGATACGATTTACACATGCAGTGTTATATTTGCTAAATTTTTTTATAAAATAATATTGAATTTAAATCAAGTTGAAAAGCTTTTTACCCATATTTTACATAAGTATGTTCAGCTGGGTTGAATCATCAAAGTGCATAAAAACATAAATTTTAAAATTCTGCCGAAATTTTTAAAAAAAATTGTCTTTAGACTTACATAAATATTTCAAGCACTCATCACTACAGACCACATCACAAAAGTACCCCAAATTAATTTTCAAAACAAAGATTACCAGTTGGCAGCTACCTGGAAAAAAATTGTCCTAGAGGGGCACCGGTATAAAATATATACCGGCTCTCAAAATTCAGGATTTCGCTCTAGATTTTTTTTAAGTCACAATTTTGTGTCCTTAGGGTCCATAAGTTATAGTTCATGCAAAATTTTACCACAGTTTAAATTATTTTATATACTGCCCCTCAAAGGGTTAAATCATCAAAATGATTTAATGCTTAAGAGATTGAACATATAATGGGTCCAAGGTCATCCATCAATCTGTGTTTAATGCGCTTCTAGTATGTGTGCCTATTTGCACATCCACTTTTCTTAATGGCATTTTTGTCCATCGAAAACTCAAAATTATCTTTATGTGAATTTACTCGGATTAATTTTCCAATGAAACAATTATTAAATATTCTGCAGACTATAAATTTTGTTTAAAATTTCAGATTGATTGAGCTGTTTTGAAAGAACATAACATTATATTTCAAAGAAAGCACTACAATTTAATATTTTTAAAAATGCTTTTGATGCATGAATTGAGAGAGTATTTTTAATGATGTTATTATAGTTTACACTATACATTTTTCTTGGTATGAAATAGATAATATGATCATTCATTAATATAACTAAAAGTCTTTAATCGAATAGAAAACTGTTAAAAATTATTTTGATATTTGAACACATAATGCTGTTTCTTTTTATATATGATTAAAAGTACAGCATTGTTTTATGAAAAATGAAAAGTTAAAAATTATATGGTATTAGAAATTCAATTTTTGCTAATTTGGTTTACCAAATTATAGAATTTTAAGATTTTTATGTAGGGAAGGTTATTAACACGATTAATGCATTTTTGTATTGTGGTTTAAATATCCCTGAATTAATTTAACAATGAACAGAAGCAGGCAAGCAAGAGACGTCCTTCGACTAGCTAACATCGGTAGCAAAAGAAAATACGTATTTTGTGGCCACAGTATTTATAATCTTCAAAGTGCTTTGTTTTAACACTATACAGTGATTGGGCAAAAGTTGTCGCATTGCAGTTACTGCAGAGAAAGTGATATAAAATTAAGGGGGTGTACTTAAATTAGTAATTTAAAGGTCTATTGTCAATTTATTCCAATTTAAGTTTAATTTTGTAAATAAATTTTCTGCACACTTTTATTCCTTACACACACATATATATAATGAACCTGTGTTGTTATTGAAATAAGATGACCTGATGAGAGTTGCAAAGGATTAGCGTTGGATAGGACTGCATAGTTAGGCAAGATGACTCTATGAACACACACAGCGAATTCCACATATAATTTTATTTCTTGGGTAATGGACATTATCATGGTGGGTGTGTTATGTAACCCCACAATTTTGTATAGATTATACCTTCTTAAAGGACGAAAATTAGAAAAGTAAACTCTGCATGGCAACACAAGCATCTGAAAGCAGAAGGGAAGAAAGAAGAGTTGTGATGCAATTAAGCTTTTATACCGCATTCCATTTCAGATCACATGGCAGTGTAATGAGGGAGGCCCTCACGAAATAGGCAACTCAAATAAGCACATCATTTAGACAAGAAAAACATAAAACAGAAAATAACCAATAAAAATGGAGGAATAAAATATTTCCACAATATTTTGTAGAGAATATTTAATGTGCCGAAAAATTATATCTAAATCTAGCTGAACAGTACCTACTAGCTATAACCATTTTATGGAAACAGTAATTTCTTTTTGCCACCATAAAACTATACAATTTTTTTTTCAGTAAATGATGCATGTTACTCTGCTTAGATAACTAAAGAATAATTTATAATACATAAAAACTTTTGATACATTCCTATCTATGTAACTGCCAAGATAATCTAAATGAGCATCTACAAGATATACTGGAACAACAAATACATACAGCAACAGCTCAGTCAATAATCACTTACCTTGCTCACTACAGATGCCAACAAAGCTGATTTCTTTTGTTTAATAATAAATTCTTTTAATACATTGGTACTGATGATCAGTGATTCAGTTTCATATTGGTGTAGCAAACAAATATATTTCGCAATATTTTACAACGGTGGTAATTTTTGCCACTATGGACATACCATCATTCTCCTCACAAAGCTTAAGTAAGTTGCACATTTTCAAATAATTCATCGCAGAGAACAAGGCATACCTCTTTTTCTCAATTCCTAATCCTGAACTTTTAACCGATTAAAGGTTTACCATTCAATGGACATGTAATCTTTGAAGTGATATCATAGGACAAATTTAGAGAACATATCATACAAATTCAATTGTAAAAAAAAAAAAAAAAAAAAAAAAAAAAAGGAAAAGTTCTGATAATGAGATTTTCTGACCAAAATGCTAATTAACCCAGTGGATGGTTTGTAGAAAAATATTTGATAGTAGTTATATTTTGGCTCTTCAGTACTGAAATTTCTTATAACATTCCTACGATTTCATAAGCTTAAAGGAAAAAAAAAAAAAAAAAAAAAAAAAAATCTACTGAGGTAAGAATTTATTTACCAGTAATTCATTTTAAACCAACATTAAATACTTCAAGTAAACATTAAGTACTTCGTACACCAGTTTAGTTTCTAAGCACTGTGTTCACACCGTTCAAAGGTGAATGACACAAAATAAAACAGGTTAGATGACTCGGAAGAGAAAGTAAACTGTCATAATTACTACAATAAATTTGCATACATACAAAATTAGAACAGCTCTCAGTTTCTCAGCAAACACCAAATATTCACTTCCACAAAAAATGTAGCTAGCTTAGTTTTTACATTTTACATTTATAAAGCTTATCAGAATTAAAGGCTACTACTGACAGAAATAAAACTTATCTGTTACATAATGAAAAATTATTAAACACAATTCGTACAAAGATATTATCCACTCTGCCAACTGAGTAGTCTGAAAATACCGAAATTACAAGACAAATTCATAAAAATTTAAAAAAAGAAGTAAACCGAATTTACATTTGGGACACGCAACTCAAATGCATATTTCTTAATGGCAATATTACAATGGAAAGTGCACAGAAATTTGTACTACTCTTTGTAACCTGCAATAAAAAGTCCTGAACTGCAGCATTTAATTTGAAATTAATAAAAACTACAAACATTTTAACATGGACATATTAAATTTGCAATGCTTTTTATTTTCCAAACCAGAATGCTACTGAAAAATAACTTAATTGCCTACAAGTATGTTGGAAAAAAAAATTATTTTTGCAAGCTAGCTTCGAATTCAATACTCACATTTGCCTTGTGCTTGCAGGCATTATGAGAAAAAGAATGCGATAAAAGTTCTCTGTACAAGAATTACTAATACTTTGACCACCTAGCTCCATACCTAGGAGGTCAAGCGTTCTTTTGTATGATACTATGTAATTTTAAATATAAACTTTAACAATTTATTTTGGCCTTTGAAGAAAAAAAAGCCCTTTTTTAAAACTTTCTTTTGGGGGGGGACCAACGGATGATATATTTGTCCATACACAGGTAATTTGAACCTTATAGGATATTGATCAAATTTAGCACCCTTATATTTTGCTGCCTGCATGCGAGACATTCACTGCATGAATGAGCTTGCATGCATGCACAAAAAAGGGGGAGTAAATTTTAGAATATTTAAAAAGATTGCAAACTATGTTAAATTACACGCTTGGTAATAAATATCTGCTTAATATTTCATAATGTAGTCATGATAAATTTGATTACTTTAAACTATTTACACATTTGATCTACAAAGATATCACTGAAGCATTATGTAAGATCTTTTTTAAAGAATTTATATTCCCTACATAATGATTAACTTATGCCTACTTGCCCTCTGAAGTATCTGAACACTTTCTTTAAAGCACAGTAAAGAAGCATTAATATTTTCTACAAATTATTAAGTAAAAGATATTTTTGTGTTAATTTTACATGCTATGAATAAACTGATAAACATGTTATTTTACAAATAACCAGTACTTTAATATAGTGTTCCTTCTAGAAAAAGATTCAAATAGATATCCCACCAAGTTGTAATGGAGATTTAAAAGAGATACTTGGTATTATTGCAACCACTTTAGTAGAAGCCTGCAAATTCTGGCAACCATGTGCATGTAGTTCTTTAGGTAACCATATGCATTGTAAGTCAGAATCCTAAAATTCATTGAATAATTTCTTTCTTCTGTAAAAAATTGCTTGCAACAAGGTGGTAGCATTAATAGTAAGGGAAAAAAAATTAATTTATAAAATTCAACAGTGAAGTACTAATATGATCCAGATCCTCATATAAGCGGAAGACTATTCTTCACTTACCAGCCTAATTCCATTGAAGAAATCCAAGATTTTATTAAATTAATGCTGCACTTTATATATATATATATACCAACAGTAAAGGTGTATATATATTATATATATATATATATACCAACAGTAAAGGTGTAATTCTGAGCTTTATATAAAACACAGATCAGTTCATTGATGTGACAAAAAATCAAGACAAAACTTCATTGATGTGACACCAATTAAACTATTACCCATCATTTTTTCGTGTCTGATATGCATTCGGGCGAAACTGCTCAGATCCAATCTTCTTGTTTCGGTTAAAATTGAAATTCCTTGAATTTTTATCTGTGCCTGCAAATAATTTAAACAAAATCATAATATGCAAAGGGATGTTTAAAAACTACACAGACAATTTTTTTAGATTTATATTTATAAAGATAAAAGTTTCAAAAGAAAAATACATAAAATCTGTCATTTACTAAAATACATAACCCTCCTTTAAAAATTTTGCACTTGGATGTTTTTAAAAGATCACAATAAATTTGATTTTGCTTACAAATATTTTGAAAGATATTTACTAGCATGTTGTATAAACCTGAATAGATTAACACATTTAAGTATCATGTTGGCTACTAGTTACCGACATTATACTTTCTGTCTAGATTTTTGTAAGTCAAGGTGACATTTTTTGTTTAGGTCACTTAACTGATTTACACTTAAAAAAATTATATTCTATCAATTCTACACAGATCTTCAGCCACCGGATATTGGTGAAATCAGAGGTTATAGAACAAGCTTAAAACAAGGCAAAACCAGCAATTAGCATTCAAGATATCAAATGCACAAAACGATATCACAAAAAAATTCAGAGTGTCTAAACAAAATTAAGCAAGCCTTTAATTTGTTTAAGACAAATACACCTTTTTCCCTCAAGCTAACACTTTAAAACAATAAGCCACACAATCTCCCTTCTCAAAGCCAGATTACATAACTTATATTAAGAAATAAAGTTAAACTTCAGTTAATAAGCTCATTTATAATCTCCCACGAAAACTGCAAATCAATTCCTTCATCCTCATTTCTTAATGGATGCTAGTCTTAAGACAATTCTGAAAAATTTCTCACACCCGACAATTGCCATTTTCAATGCTTAGGAAATTTACAAGACTTAAAGGATTAATATCCAATACTAATTTATATAAACTTTTCCAGCTTTCATTTTTGAGAGGGTATTTTTTATGCATCATTAGAATAAAACCATACTACATTATTTCCAATTCTACATTCTTATTTTTAAAAAAATACACCCTTTTTACCCTTCCTCATTTCATGCTGACATTCCCACTCTTTTACGGGAATACATCAATAGTGTTCATTCACTGACCTGAATCAGTTCTTTTTAAGATTCATGACACATTAACAAATACCTTGATGAATAAAACTGAGAACAAGAAGTGAATCAAAAATGATCTACACTCATGTCCATAAATTAAGGATAATGCAAAATCAGGCAAAGGAAGAGTTAGAAGCAAAACAAATTTGACTTATTTGTAAAGCTTATTTATTAAACAAAAGGTAAAGAGCAAAAAAAGATGCTATATGTTTGATATTATTAAAAAAATTAGCGATTTTTTCTCCCTGGAGCAAATTAGAAAAAACACCTATTTACAAAAAACCGATATTACATGGTTGGTATGACTGTTAATACATTGTATGTCTCCCAGACCATGCAATACAGTCCGTACAACGCCTAGGCATGCTGAATATCAAATTATCCATCTGATCTTGGGGGATATTACACCACTCAAAAAGCAATGCTCTCCGAAGTTCCGGTAGAAATGTAAGAGGAGGTTAACGGGCTGCAACTCGTCGGCCAAGCATGTCCCACACGTGCTCTACTGGATTCAAGTCCGGTGAGAATGCTGGCCAATCCATACGGTTGATAGCCTCTGATTGAAGGCATTCGCTTATGATGTTTGCATGGTGAGGACGGGTGTTGTCATCCATAAACACAAATATTGCGCCCATGGCGCCCCGAAACAGACGTACGTTGTTCCAGAATGACGTCCTATAGATTTGGCTTGTCATGGTTCCAATTTGAACATGCAGGTCAGTTCCGGAACCCAGAATAATTCCACCCCAAACGAGCACTCCTGCAACATTGTAACGGTGTCGTTCAGTGATGTTTTCTTGGTGGTAACGGGTACCTGGAGCTCTCCATATGAACGTCCGGCAAGAATCAGACTGCAAGCTAAACCTGGACTCGTCGGATAACACCACACAAGTCCACTGTTGCGGTGTCCACAATGCATGCTCTCTATTCCAGGCTAACCGCAGGCGACAGTGAGTTGCAGTAAGTGGAACGCATCTGACAGGCCTACGAGCATATAGACCAATCTGCCCTAAACGTCTGTACATGGTCAGCCTTGAAATTGTCGTACCAGTGGCTGAAGAGACAGGTCTGAGGCTGTACTCCGCCTGTTTCTTTTGGCAGTAATTGCCAAATACCGGTCCTCATTCAGCATTGTAACTCTGGGACGACCTGTGCTGTAATGTCTACTCGCATTACCATCATCTTGGAATCGTTGCCAAAGCCTGGAGATGACACTCTGCGCAATTCCGAGTTCGTATGATACTTCCAGTTGAGTACGCCCACATTCCGGACTGCCGATAATTCTACTACGTAAAAAATTATCCAAATGCGTCCTTTGTGTCATAACTATTCGGTTATTGCACTGAAATGCTTATAAAAGGGCCTGCGAACAATTTTACTTCTTTGCCAGTATTTCTTATATTTTACTCACACTCTCGTCATTGTGACGTACCATCGGTGTCATCTGGTTACTTCCTGAAATTTGCATGATTCTTGAAGATGTGTGTAGTGATTTTACATTTGATGTATTTATTTTAGAGTTCGATTTCCGAGTGACTCCAAATTATCCTTAATTTATGGACATGAGTGTATAAGGATGGAGCAAACAGTAGAAAAAATTTTAATAAGTGGTGGGATCATGAATATTGACTCAATTGAATCTACCCCGATATATATTTTTAAATTGTAGTTTTGAGATCCCCTGAAATCTACTTTCTACATAGAACTAACAATAAATTTCTAAACTAAAAAAATGCGCAAAAGTTAGGAAATGATGAAAATTAAACTTGCTTTTAAAACAGCAAAGTTTTTTTCCTCCCATAAAATGAGAATTAAACGACACAATTTTAACAAGAGCTCTCAGTGGGTGAACTCTTAGGGAATTAATGTTCTATTTTGATAAAACAATATTTGCTTGCTCAGTAAAATGAATTCTTTCAGCAATTTCATGAGCGAATGACACATAACCTAGTCATTATCACCCAACAGCATTTTTCTTCATCTCATTTAAGACTACAGATCAAGCCAACCTTCCATTATGTGTGATTTTCAGGAAACAAAACTGAAATGAAGTGGGGATGGGGACATTTAGAGAACTTGACCATCTGCCACAACTGTCATCAAGATCATGAAGTAGGCCTGATAAAAGGAAATGATCTGGAAACATACTAAAGCTAACAATACTAACTAGAACACAGAAACACTTTATTGCACAGTTTAAAATTAAGCAAAAATGTAATTTTGATTTAATTAAAATAGACACCAAATGCAAGGTTGTTGTGCCCAAGTTTACTTTTTACTGATGTTTTGTCTTTTTTCTTCATTAAATAAGTACTTTGTAAAATGTAAGTAGGACAATGAGATCTTCTGTAAAATGGGAGTATACATGTACCTTAAAAATAAATTAATGAATATGTAAAAAAATACTTGTTTAATTTTGTACTCTGGAGTACTGTAAAAGTGAACATTGGACAGGTACAGATTTTAATTAAAACTATCAACTTTAACAGCTGCTGTTTTAAAGGGAAAAATTATTTTTTTAAACATGAAAAATTAACAACATTAAAATAAATAAAAGAAAAATTTTAAGCTGCATTTCATGCTTGAAAAAGCCATTTTTCATGAAAATGTTCTGACAAAACTGCATTTTCAATACTTCCTCTAACAAATACTAATATAACATAACACCATCTTTCATTTATATAAAGTTAACAGGTCATCCTTACAAAGCTTTTAAATGTTCCTTTCAAAATATTCATTTCGAAACAGCAAAGAAAGCACAAAAGAATGGACATCAAAGAAAGTAAAATCAAAAGTCTTTAAAGACCTCCATAATCCGAAATGACCTATAAATCCAGACCTCAAAGATACAAGCTTTCTGCGCATGCGTAATGCATTGATGCATGCACATATGCGCATAATGCATGTGTCTACGCATGCGCGTTTAATGTATAATGGATGGCATTGCTAAGCTAAAATTACCTAATTATCTATTTCAGTTAATGTTGCAGATTGCATTGTTACTTAATCTTCGAATTGGATCCGGCTTATTATTTTTTGCAGACTGTTAGAGCAATTTTATAAAAGTAAGCGTGAACTTTGGATTATGTCAAAAAGAATTTCTGATTCTGGAGCTACCAAAGGATTTACAAGGCGAAAGCAAGTTTCGATGTCCATCAAACAAAAGATGGAATTGCTGCAAAAAATGGATAAAGGCATATCCTTTATTTCTCTAACCATTCTAAAATCTGTTTATCAATTTCACGCTGCTCTGCCGGTGGGGGGGGGGCGTCGTGGCACGCAATGAACTGGAAGTTGATCTGTCAGCACCATCCTTATCTTCAGGGTAGATGTTTTTATTTTATTTGGCTTACAATTCCTTACTAAATGTAGTATTTCATCTCGATGTACTCCGTCTTATAGTTTTCTGGTTGCAATTTTCTAATTTCGACTATACGTAATGTATGCTTTATGCATGCGAGCGTTGAAAGAAATGTTTAATAAAGTAAACAAATAAATATTAAGCTTTTTGTTTTGTAAATTTTGATACCCTTTAGATCATAATTGCTCTTTATTTCATAAATTACCGTCATATATTTTAAATTTTATAATTTCAGCATGCCGTCTTACCAGATTTAAACTGATGATCTATAATCCGGAATCGCCGAAGTCCCGACGAGTCCGAATTAAAAACTTTTGACTGTATAATGTTTTTATACTTTCTATTTAGAATTTTTTTTACAAATAAAAAAACAGTTATGGATCTTTATTTTAAAATAATACTGGATTTTTATAAAGCAACAAATTGTTTAACAGTTAGTACTCAACTATGTCAAGCGTTAAAAAAGTAAGCTGCTTTAAACCTTTAGGGTAGCTCTTTTTATGAGATTTACCATCGAATACATGTTAATAAAATAAATTAAAAATATCCTAATTTCTTGACTGCAAGTGATAGTCTGTGACAATTTTGCAACATACTCTCAGAATGTTTGCAAAATATGCAGAATTGTTTTTGTAATATCTAAACATTTTCCAGATTTTTAGCTTTCCACTCTTAATTATTAATAGAAAAATATTTTTAAACTTTTCTAAACCTTTTCCTAGTAGTGTAACATGCACTGTATTGGTAAAAGATGCAAGAAGGGTTTTAATCGTAGTTTTAGAATCTATGCAAGAAAAATGTCTGAAACAATTGGAAACTGAGCCAAACTCCGTTTCAAAATTATAATTTCGGAGCTTTTATGAATTGACAATGTCAAAGACTGCAATGAAGAAATTGGGAAACATGAATATATCGGGAAGAGAAATTAGATGAACCAAGCGATTAGCATTTAATAAATTTCAAGTGCCACCCAATCAGTAACAACTATCATTGGCTAGAAAGTAATGATCAACTTAAATGCCCATGCCAGTTTTGTATGTGCACACACAAGACTAAGACTACAAATTTTAATAATGACTTTAACTAAACAGGTGAAAAACAGGTTTGAAGAAGTCATTACCTATCTTTATGCTACAAAGAAAGTAAAAAAACTAACATACGAGAGGGCTGATTGAATTCCTGCTTTGCTCTCCAGTATCATAGTCCTTTAAAAATTAGTTTTGTAAAATAACAATGATTTTTTATACAATTTAAATTTTAAAATGCAACTCGAGATGACTTGATCACAATATCTGTGTTCAAAACCATTACAGAAATCAAAAGGAATTTGTTTCCATAAAATCATATATTTCAACACAATTACTAATTAAAAATGGAACTACATAAAAGCTCTCATTAATTTAAAAAGATAAAATTACTAAAGGATAAGACAAAATCTCAATAACTCTTAATAGTTTCCGTAACAGTCGTATGAATATTCTGAAAGCAATATTTTTTACACATAAAATAGTATTTCATAATTTTCAAAATTATTTATAAAGTCAAATATCACAGTTAATTGGAATTAAATGGCCAAACAAATTACCAGGGATCATGCATCAGAAATTTATTCATTTTCAAACTCATTTCAAATTCTAAGGGTTTATTAAAAAATATCCAGAAATGCTGGGAAAAAAATTGTCACCTTCCCGTTAGTATGTCAACTTTAGCTCCATTTTAATTATTTTTTTTTTTTGGGGGGGAGCTCTGTTTATGTTATTTCCTTACTAAAATTTTCTTTTAAGACTTCTCTTCCTCTTCCCACAGCGATTAAATAAACCACAATACTTTTGTAGCACTGGACAAGACCATTCGGCCTACTTCAGAGCAAACAGTGCAACAGTTATAATGACTATAGATAAACTGATAAAATAATGTAAGCATTACCACTCTTTTCTCCTGTAAATATACTTTTGTAGAACAGGATATGAAACTAGTAAGCCCCAATCCTAAAATTTTTAGAAATGGATTAAATTGGGTTTTCGTAAAAATTTTGGAATACACTCACTCGCAATTTGAAACAGAAAATGCAGATACACATAAATCAATCAAACCTCAAAATGTACCCTTCATTTTCTTCAAATTATGATAACCCTAACAAACTGCTGTAAGAAAACAGTTATTTCAAAATAAAAATTCAACCAATAAAAAATACTAATTCAATATTCACACTTTCTACTATTACACCCTTACTAAAACACCCTTTTTATTATAATGTATATTGTACCCCGACAGCCTCTAGTATTTTAATCTTTTTTTAGTGTTTTACTAGTAATCAGTTTCTGCTGAGATCAAACAGGTATAAATGTAAAATTATCAATAATTAAATTTGCATGAACTTATATCTAGAAGTTTTGATTTAATACAAGTCTTGGATTTAAATACTTAGTATTCTAATATTTTTTAGCAAAATACAACTTTAAAAAATAAATTTCTCTTACCTGAGGATTGATCATCCTGTATATTTAATTTCTGTAAATCACTTTGTTCCGAAGGCGCTGAGCCATGCATGTAGGATTCTTGATGCAAATTCTGAGATCCCATTTGATTGTATGATTGCGGATTTATAGCATCTTTATTGAAAGTTCCTAAAAATAATGTAGTTTCAATATTGCATTAAAAACAAGGAAACAAAACTTTCATTAACATCAGTTGATCTTACCTCTAGGCTTATACTGATTTTTTCTATCCCAATCTTGGATTTGATTCCCATGCCACTCGGGTGATCTCTTTTGTTCCGTTGGTTGACCATATTGATTCACATTCCAATGAGTTTGGTTTACAGCTGTAGGATCAGCTTGGGAATGTTGACGGGATCGCATATGAGGTGGAACATAACGTGCTAAAAATTTATTATTCAAAATCATTAGGGAAATAAGCCATTAAAAGGAATTTGTTTCCATAAAATCACAACTTCCAACAAGATCAATGATTAAAAATTGAACTGCATGAAAGCCCTCATTAATTTTAAAACAGAAAATCTGAATTATTAAAAGATAGCACACAAAATCTCGTTAACTCTTAGCAGTTCCTACAATTACTGTCATATCAATATTCTGAAAGCAATACTTTTTTTCATATGTAAAAGAGTACTTTATAATTTTCAAAATTATTTACCCTTTTTTTATATAACTGATATGATTAAAACAAATTTTATATTCTTATGTATTTACAAAAACTGCAAACAGTGTAAAACTTTACAAATCTTTCACTGTTTATAGGATATAGATAATTGTCACTGACAACAGGCTTCAGAACATTTCATTCCTTCATTAGTAGTTAAAACTCTCGCAACACTATACTTTTCAATCTCTATATTAAAATCTATGATAAGAAATTCAAACCTTTGATTTACTAATTTATTTATCACAAAAGATACAATTAAGTCAATGAATATATATAACATCAGTTTGAAGTCAATGAATATATATAACATCAGTTTGAAACTCAAACTGAACTCATAATAAATACTGAAAATGCAAGCCCACTGAAAGAAAAATTTGGAATCAACCACAAGCAAACATAACTATTAACCTACAACATTCTACTTCTACATATCTTATCTGCCGCAAAATGTAAAATCTTTAAAATAAAACTTTTTTCATGTTCTTGTATACCTTTCATCCCATTTTTATAGAAAGTATTTAAACTGCATAAATACTATTGCATAGATCACTCTGAAATTTTTGAGATATATGCAGATGATAAGTGGCAGAAAAAAGCAGTTAGATTTGAAGACATTAACTAGTTTAGCGTAGGAGATAATTTTTTATTGCCCAACTGCAAGTAGTTTAGAGTAGAATAAATTTTAAGGAGAAGGAAAAATGGAGTTGATGCGAGAACATTATCACGCTACGATTTTGTGGTATTAAATCAAGAATGCCTTCGACGTCTACAGTTAGCATTTGGAAATGAAGGTCCATCTTGTGTTACTGTAGTCAGATGGTTTACAGAATTTCACAGAGATCACACTTTTCAGGATGAAGAAAACAAAGGAAGGCCACTGTCAGCCGTAATCCCAGATAATGTGCCTGCTATGCAGAAAATACTATTCTGTTATCAGGACTGGATTCAGGAATATCCGTATATATGTGTGGATCTTTTTGTATAAATATACACACACCCATACATTTGTGTGTATTTATACATATGCATGCATTTCTGAATGCTGCACTGATAACAGAAGACACCAAAAAAACATTAATCTATGATAACTGCCACACCTACCAAACCAATACAGAAGGAACTTATTGGATCCCCCACCATATATAAAATTATTCATGAAGAAATGTATATGAAAAAATTAGTTTGCCATTGTGTTCCCTATAATTTAAATAATCACCAAAAAGAGGAACACACCAGATTCAGTAAAGAAACCCTTAAATTACTTAAAGATAGTGACTACCGCATTATTTCTAAAAAGTCATAACTGGCAATGAAACATATATATCATTTTTTTAATGTTCCAACATGTCAAGAAAGTAAAGTACAGGTCTTTGAAGATGATCTACACTCGCAACAATAAAAAGACAACATCCCATGGAAAGAAGTAAATGCTGTTTTCTTCAGAAGTACAGGACTTGTCATAGCCATGAAGCTAGAAGAATTGAACACAATCACAGCTAATTTGTATACCACTAAGTGTCTTCCAAAAATTCGTCAAGAAGTGAATGTTAGATGACTATGCTCCACCATGTCAACTGAGTTTTCTTAACAAAAATACATCAAAATGATAGAACAGTGATAGGTGTTAAAGATTCCTAAGCGAGACTAACAATTTTAGTGTGCGCAAATGCTACAGGAATGCACGAGTGCAAACTTTTCATAATCGGAAATCATGCACGACCTCGAGCATTTAAAGGAGTAACAATATTCCTTGTTATATATCAAGCAAATAAAAGAGCATGGATGATACAAACGTTGATGAATCATTGGTTTGAAAATCATTTTATACCCGAGGCTTGGCGATATTTGAATTTGGTTGGTTTACCTGATGACTCAAAAACAGTCCTGATTGTTGACAACTGTTCGTCGCACACTTCACTTAAAGTTTTAGTGAAAGACAATGTATCCGTATTATTCTTCCCTCCAAATTGTACGTCTATCATCCAGCCTATGGATATGAGAATAGTGCATGCGCTGAAATGCAAATATAAAGTAGCATTTTTAAAATCTATGTTAAATTTTTTAAACAATGGCAAGACCATTCAAGACTTTTTGAAATTGTTTAGCATAAAATCTGCTGTGTAGAGCATCGCAAGACCATGGGAGGATGTGTATCCATGTACGTTAAAAAATGCTACCATATTTCATGGTAAGGACGATGAAGATGATAGCCGTGAATTTAAAGGTTTGCGGACATTGCAAACTAAAGGTTTAATTGTCCAGTTATTGGATTTTATAAAGAAATGTGGAAAAATGGTAATAAATGAAGATGATATAACAGAAGTTTTTCATTGCGACGACAATGCCCCAATCATCAATCAATTAACGGACGGCAAAATCTGTACTATGGTTCCAGATCCAGAAAATACCACTTCCAATAGTGAAGAAAGTGACAGAGAGGTAATTGAAAACGAAAAAATTTCAACTGACAAGTTAGTCAGTATTCTCAACACAGCAATTACAGGACTTGAACAGTGGAACTTTGTAACTGAACAAGAAATTATGTCTGTTTATAGAATTAAAGAGAAAGTATTAGCAGAAAAAACGAAGCAACTTAAACAACTTACATTGAAAGAAATGTTTACTAAAGTAAAAAAATAAATATTATTATTTTTTTTTTTTTTGTAAATTTTGATACCCTTTAGATTATAATTGCTCTTTATTTCATAAATTACGGTTTCATATTTTTTAATTGTATAATTTCTCCATGCCATATTACCAGATTTAAATTGATGATTTATAATCCAGAATCGCTGAATTCAGGATTACGGACTTTGCACTGCATTTTATAAACTTACAAAATATCACCCTTTACACCACACTTTATGAACTTACTGCTATAATTCAACTCACCATTTGGCTGCTTGCCATTCTGTCCAGTAGCATTTATATCTAAGCCTGCAAACTGAAATGAGGGGAAAACATCCATTAGTAACAGAAAAGTTATCTACTAAAAACAATGACTATTCAATTAACAGACTATTAACTTGTACACGTTACATTTTATAATCTGTACGAAAATTAGATTAGATTGATAAAAAATTAATACAGAAAATAAAAGAAATGCCAAAAATTATCAAGTTTAAAGCAATAAGCTAAGATCCACCATATACAATTAGGCGAGAAAAAGTTAAATGAGACATTAAAATGGATAAGAATTTTTGAATTCTCTGACTTTAATATACTTTGCACAAATATGAAAATGTTTCTGATTTTAGAACTATCCTTAAAAAGATATTTTTATTTACCCTGTGAGTGTCGTGGCATTTTGAATCCGTTCATGAAGACACGTATTTAAACAGCTTCAGTTAGCTAAATTTTTAAAATTACATATTTTTAGTCTTTTCATAAACTTCCTTTCATCAAGATATGTATATTATTAAAGAAAGTACAAAAGAAAAATAGTGATGCCCACCAAGTGATAAAAAAATCTAAGGACCAGATAGTTATTCCTATCTAATCATTCCACTTGGGGGATCAACCACATCAGAACATGTAAAAATATCCGATTTTTCAAAATACAAGCTTAAAAAAAAAAGCCATTGTATGTTACTTATTAAAACAAATTTTCGTATACTTCTCAATAGCATATGCTCTAAAAATTGTCCACTGGGTTACCTAACCTTTGTACAGAAAATAAATCTCAAATGGCGTCTGCAGGCAGAAGATCTAGAAAATAAAAGATCAGACTTTAAACATTTACAGGAGCAAAACTTCACACTATTGCCCGAAACTTGCAGTCGCAGTGGGTTATTATACTACTTTTCATTTGGCTACTACGCTTTCATGAAGGACGTGTCAAACAAACATGATGATTAAAGATGAAATATATCAATAGATTAAAAGTGTAATGCTGATAGCATCAGATCTGGGGCAGCTGCACAGCGGCAGTAATAAGGGATGAAAATTTTAGATATGCGAGGCAGAAAAATACCTCTAACCTCGTACGAGGTAAGATAGAAAGAATCTCATCAAACCAGAAATTGAAAAATATGAGAAAATATCACAAGCTAAAGAGATTTCACCAATATATATATGCTGGTTTTGACAGAAACTTTGGAGAAGAGAGATGTTTGTGTTCTGTTGATCCCCCATTGCTTGATGCAACGTTATTGATATGATGATTTGATGACTCAGGTGAAAGATCTCTTATCTGGAATAACAATATTTGATAAAATGGAAATTAAATATTTTGACTAAAGCCAGTTGTCAAACAAGTGATTCTTCCTATGACTCCATATATTTCAGCATGCACAACCATTAGTGAAATAAATTATGAACTCTGCCTAGGATTACTGAGAAATTATTACGAAAGATAGAGTTTCACGTGGGAAAAGCGTTCATTAAGCATACTATTGTGAATGCTTGTAAAATCAGTGAAGTGACTTGCTTAGGGACAGAAAATTAATTTTGAAGGAGTTCAACAGAAAACTGAGACATGTCTCCTAACCAAGTAAGAGGCTGAAGATGCACTCTATCAAAAATAAAATTCTTCTACAGATTAAAAGAGCTCTATATTGATTGCAAGCTGAAACATGTTTCTTCAGCACTTAATTACATCACTTTGTAAAGTCGTTAGGAATTTTTTATACTGGAGAAGTGAAAAATAAGAAATGCCGTCTCTTGGACTTTAACCTGGACCTCTCAAATACACTCCGAGTGTGCTAACCGTTACACCACAGAAGCATACATGAAGAAATGAGAAAATACCTTATATACTCCCCCTTTTATGGGTAACTGGGGATTAGGAGACCCAATCGCCAAATCCTGGTGGCGCACAATCATCATCCACCATCTCTTAGTTCGTGCGCCACTGTAGATGTATTAAGTTATTTTGAAAAAGACATGAAAAAATGAGCAATGCCTTCAACGGGTTCTCTAACCTGGACCTCTTGAATACATGCCAAGTATCCTAACTGTTACACCACTAAAGAATGCCCTATAATTCAAGGACTGAATAAAAAGTAGTGGGTAGAATACTTAAATTTAAAGGTACCCCTTGTTTATGGCGAAGTTGTTGTTTGATTTATCCGCAAGTTGTTGTTTCATTTATGGTAAGCCTGAGTAGTTGAATGTTATGGAAACCCTATTGTGACGTAATCGGGTGCATGATACTGGGAAATTTTGAATCATGGGATGTTTTGTAAGCGTTTTTGTGGTGTGTGTTGGTTTGATTCTTTAGACGGTAGAATGGCCGAATGTAGTAAGATTAATTTAAAGTTTCTGTACAATTTGGAGCGAAAGGGGAAAAGAGCTTTAATTGACTGGTGTGTAAATGAACGTTTACTTAGTAGCATAAGTGTCCTGTATTTAGGAAGGATATGCCTCTAGTTGAACGTAAAAACCGTTTAGATGAATTTGAATGGGTTTGTAGGAAGAAAGGTTCAGATGGTCACTATGTGAAGCGTTCGATCAGAAAGAGTACCTGGTTTGAAAAAGTCATTTGAATATGATTGATATTTTGATTTTTACATGGCTCTGGGTGTACGAAGCGAACTCGAAAATCATGGTAAGTGAATATTTGCTTTTGGTAGTGCTTAAATATAACATGTTTTTTTCTTTTTTATGTTATTTTATTTTTTGGTTTAAAATGTATTTTATTGAGATTTGTATTTTTTTTTTGCCCCTATATTGTAGAATTTGGTGCTCCTTTGACTTTTTAAGTGTAAAAATATATCATGTGTACATGGACAAAGTAAAGGGAGTGCGCAATGCAATGGTTTTCTGCAAAGTTTGTGCAATTCTGGGATTTTTTTTTTTAAAGTGAAAATAGGTCGACGTGTACATGGATAAAGTTAAAAGAGTGCACAATGCTATTTTTGTGAATTCGGGGATTTTTTTTTTTTTTTTTTTTTTTTTTTAAGTGAAAATAAGTTGATGTGTACATGGATACCGAGTTTGTGCAATTGTTCCGTCTTGTTATTTTGACTTTGTGTAGCGGCGATTTTTGCATACCCTATACTATACTTTTACCAAAGTAGTAGTATTAAAAAAGTGAATAAAAGTATGAATAGTAAATCTTCCAAGTGGAGCACAACTATTGTGAACAATGGGATAACGTTATCGCATTAGCACTGCCTTCTAGATTAACATCATATTCGTGTATTCCGACCATTAGCTGTTCCAAAAGTAACATAAGCAGAATAGTAATTACCAGACATGGAATTATTAATAATTTTATGTATTTGTAGCTCTGACGATAGGCCAGCTACGGACAGTTTGAAATCAAATTTTTACATAAATAATATCAGAAATTAACAATTAAAAAAAACTTGACACTGGATGATTTCCATTTCAAATTCCATTTTTATTAAAAAAACAACTATATTAAATGAAAACTCATATTTCAGACGGCAAAGGACAGCAAGTAGCTCACAAGCCACAGATACGATGTCGTAAAGCCGCAGTGTGGCCATGTCTGCTATAAAGTATAGCTACATGCATTGAACAGAACTATTATATTATAGCTTTGCATCTCAAATGACTGCACAAATTCTGTTTTAAAAAATAATAAATGTAATGTTAATATAATTTCATTTCTAAAAATTAACTATAAGAAAAGGTATTAATATTCCAGTACATTAACTCAGTGTTGCAAAATTCGAGTTAAAATAATGCATTTTGAAGTTCAGAAACCACAAAAAAAAAAAAAAAAAAAAAAAACATTCAATTTAGAAAATAAAATTTATGTACAACTCTGATAAACGCTTTAATTTCACCAAATGTGGCAATGCATGTTTTGCGCTGGTTTTTGGCGTGATTGCGTGTTGTATGGCAACTCATGTTGAGCGTTGAAAATCTTTTGGTTGGAGTGTTTTAATTGCTCGTTGGTTCGTGTCGTGTGGTATTTTGAAATGGCCTATGTTGCGAATGAGAGACGTGGTGGCTAGATTTCAGTCGCGTATTTTAGATTGTGTGGAAGAGTAAATTTAGTATGAAAAGGTATGATGTTGGAGTGGTTAACGAGTCTTTTGTTCACGGGTGTGTTTATGCGGATCGTAGTGTATTTTTGGAATTTCTGTGGGAGTCAGGACTTTTAAAACGGAGTTTGCCGTGTTCGAAATGCAGGAGCCGATATGAGAAATTGGACGGAAGAATGGTATTTCTGCTAGACTTGTGTGGGTTTGCAGTCAAATTGTTGCTCGTAAAGTATATGGGTGTTCAGCGGAATTTAAGATTTGGATCTTGGTTTTTGTGTAGTAAGTTAACGTAGGAGGAAGTTTTTATTCTTGCTTTCGAAATTTTGAATCGTAGAAAGACATGTGATATAGCAAAATCGTAGGCACTTTCGTTCACAGACGTTGTGTGACTTGGTGAAATTTTATTCAACGAATATATGTTGGACTTTGTATGCTCTGTATCTGAGAGGATAGGGGGAGGGGAAGATAAAGTGCTGGAAGTGGACAAATTGAAATTCGGCAAAAGGAAATATCATCGTGGCCATCCTGTTGAGGGGCAGCGGGTATTTGGAGGTGTGGAAAGAGGGTCTGGGAGAATATTTTTAGTAGCTGTGCATGATAGAAGTAAGGAAACGCTGATGCAGTGTATTAAAGAGTGGATTGAGCCTAGTATAACTATTTTTTCCGATGGCTGGAAATCCTACAAGGATTTGAGAAAAGGTTTTGAACATTTATCTGTGAACCAGTTTAAATTTTGTGGATAGCGAGTCTGGCTGTCATATAAATAGTATTGAGAGTACATGGCGGCATGTGAAAGCTTCGTTACCTGCTTATAATAAATAGGAAATGTGATTTTGAATTTTATTTGGCTGTGTATATGTTTTTCCATTACTGTCATGAAATTAAAGAAGATGCTTTTAATAAATTTCTAGAAATTGTAAGATGTATTGAATGGGAAAAATTAAAAATTTCTTTGTAGTTTATTTGCAAAAAGTGTGTGTTTTTTTGTTTTTGTGAAGTTTGAAATTGATATTTCTGCTTTTAAAAGAAGCTTTCATTATGGTAAGTGCATTTTATTTTATATTTTTTGTTTTGTAGAATGTAATATTCATTGTTTTTTGTATGAATTTCCGTTTCTGTTGTTGTTTTTGAATTGTTTAATTATTTAGTTTATTTTCTTGATTTGTTTTAGTGTAGATTGTGCAATTCGTAGATGTTTTTTAAAGTTGAAAACAGAATGCTGTGTACATGGTATCTTTGAAATTTATTGTTATGTTAATTATTAAAGCGAGGTGTGCGTAGTCGTAAATTCGTTTATGCCTACAGTGGTGCAATTCGTAGATTTTTTTCTTTAAGTTTAAACAGGTTACTGTGTTCATGGTATTCTTTGAAATTTATTCTTATGTTAATTTATTAAAGGGAGGTGAGCATAGTTTGTAGATTCGTTTGTTGCCTACGTTGTGCCATTCGTAGATGATTTTAAGTTAAAACATGTCGCTGTGTACATGTATTCTTGTCAAATATTTTTTGGTTAGAAACTTTACCTTTTTGCTATCTAAATTTTTGTTTTGTTTCGGATTTTTTAGCTTAAAATCGTGTGTTTAAAACATAGTTTTTGCATGTGCGAAAACCGCGTTTTTTGAGACATTTTAGGCTTAAAGTTCGAAATGTAGACAAAAAATTTAGATAGTAATATGGCCGCGTGAAGTTTCATCGCCAAAAATATTTGGCGACTTCAGGGCGCATATCAGAGTAGTTCAAAATTTAATACAATTTTAATATTAAGAAGAAATGTAAACGTTAGAAAAAACCCAGAATGAAAAACATAACAGCAACATTTTCAAACAGAACAATATAATATCCTCTCTCCTACGAATATTTAGCATTAAATGAAACACAGAAAATATATTATGCAGATGAAGCTTAGAATTTTAAAGAAGTAAATAACCTTAGGACTTAACATCTACTAGACCACTAAAAGAAGTCAAATGCTTATCCAGATGTTATACACTGTATACTTTACTAGTGAGTTATAAAAACTGAATGACTATTATAATGAATATAATACAGTCAAAAGTCGTTAATTCGGACACCCATAATTCGGAATGATCTATTATCCGGACATCAAAACTAAAAACTTTCTGCGCATGCGCCAAGTTGACACATGCGCAGAGGCGTTCACGCATGCGTAATACCTTTTACGACTGCGCATATGAGTGTGCGCAAGTGCAGAATACGTTTTCGCGTGTGCATTTTATGTATAATGGACGTATAAGCTAAAATTATCTAATTATCTATTCAGTTAATGTTGATGATTGCGTTGTTCCTTAATTTTCGAATTGGATCCGGCTTATTATTTTTTGCAGACTGTAAGAGCAATTTTATAAAAGTAAGCTTAAACTTCGATTATATCAAATAGAATTTCCGATATATATTGTTAATATGTAAAGAATCTAAAGCGAAAGTATGTTTTGAAATCCGAAATCTGTGGCGGGCGCCCCCTAATGATTGGAAGTTGATTTGTCAGCACTATCCTATCTTCAGCGCAGATGTTTTTATTTTATTTGGCTTATAATTCCTACCAAATGTATATTTATCTCCGATATGCTCCGTCTTTGATAGATTTAAAACAGTTCCTCGTCATTATAATTCGTTTCCGATAGCAAAGAAAGTGACAGAGGTTATTGAAAACGAAAAAATTCGATTGACAAATAGTCGGTGTTCTTGACAAGCAATTATAGGACTTGAACAGCGGAACTTTGTAAACTGAACAAGAAATTATGTCTGTTTAATAGAATTAAAGAGAAAGTATTATCACATGAAACGAAGCAAACTTAAACAACTTAATTGAAAAGAAATGTTTAATAAAGTAAACAAATAAATATTAAGCTTTTTCTTTTGCAAATTTTGATACCCTTTAGATCATAATTGTTCTTTATTTCATAAATTACGGTTTCATATTTTAAATTTTAGAATTTCTGCATGCCATCTTACGAGATTTAAACTGATGATCTATAATCCGGAAAAATCGATAATCCGGAATCGCCGAAGTCCCGACGAGTCCGAATTAACGACTTTTGACTGTACACGGTATGGAATTATCTATTAACAACTAGCTATATGGCAGTAATTGCCATATAGCTTTATAAAAAAATTAAGGGTTGATCTTTACATTATGGTAACTTGGCGTTTTTTTCGGCGAAAATTTGGCGACCACTATCCACAGCAACCTCTAATTTTTTCCCCGCCCCCATTTGTCTTACGAAGTAAAGACATGTTTCTTTTCATCACGAACCTTCTTCAAACAATCTACTAGCGAATTATACTTATGCTAAAATTTATCTAACAAAAACTGCTATCATGAACAAATTTCACTTGCAAAATTGGGAAAAGTGCACATACATACTCCTTACGCGTTTTTAAATAACACATAACATAAACCTGTACCGCCCGACTTTTTTTACTTAAAAAAAAATCCCAGAATTGCACAAAATGGCATTGTGCACATTCTTCACTTATCCATGTACACTGCTTTGTTCTCACAAATTAGAAAAATTTCCGAAATACAGACAATTGCTCACTCTTAAACCGGTAAAAGAACAATATGAAATACCTGATCGCGAAAAAGTATTTACCCTTTCCAAATATGAACATTTCCACATATAAAATAAATAAAATATCCAAAACTTTTACCTCTAATCAGCTATCATTTAACAGTCCCCAAACGATTATACGCACCATACAAATACTATTGTCAGATATTTAATATTTCCATGCCGTTTACTTCACTAAACAATACAAATTCTACAAACAAAAATCACAAAAGAACTATCATTTAAGTAAAATACCACTAAACCATGGACACGCCGACTTATTTTACTTAAAAAACATCCCAGATTGCACAAAATGGCATTGTGCACACTCTTCACTATAGCCTATATCACGCTTTTCTCATAAATAGAAAAATTTACAAAATACATGCAATTTTCAATCTTAACCCGGGAAAAGAACATATATAAATTACCTGATCCGGAAAAAGTAATGACATTTCCACATATAAATAATAAATATCAAAAACTTTGACCTCTAAATCATCTATTACTCATACCGGCACCAACGATTATACCGCAACCATTACAAACTAGTTGTAGCTATTTAAATTATTCCAGTGACGTTTACTTCAACTTAAAAAAATATTACCAATTCTACAAAACTAAATTCACAAAATAACTATCATTAATTAAAATAGAATTAAATTCAAAAACAACTACTTAAATATAAAGGAGCAATACATAAATTATACACATAAATAACCATTTTCGAATTCCCTTTAGTACACCCACATGGGATCAATAAATTCATAACACTGTTTCACACAACAAAGAATAAGCAAATAAATTCCAGATTTTTCCCGATTTCCCCTTTTCCTTTTAAAGAAACCGTAATTCGTTCCTTAAGTAACTGAACCTATCCATGATCTCACATTCCATCACACAAAATAATGCGTAATCGAACTAGTACTGCTCACATTATACCAATTGCCAGGTAGACCTTTATCGCCTCCAAAATGTCGCCAAACTACCAGTTACCATATTGTAAAGATCAACCAAATTAAGAGGCAATAGTTTCTGGCTTATAGTACTACTGTAAAGATTTAATGTATGTACACAAAACGCATCATTTTACAATAAAGGACAGATAAATACACAGATGTCAAAAGCATTCTATATCAATGAAATTTCATGACAATATCAGTAAAATGGCTGAACCCAGAAGCTATGTAACTTTAACGAGTTTAAAAATTAACAACATTTCAAACAGTTTATTAACAGTGAAAAACGCTTATTGACAAACTACTGCATTGCATTAAAAATTTATTATACATTTAAAGAATTAAAATTTATTATATACTTAAAAATCCATTTAATATTAGCATTTCAATAAAATATATTTATACATTAATCCACAAATTTCTGACAGTGTTAACAGAAAAATATAATATTTATAATACAAGCTCATATTTCACAATGAAATTTATGTAGTTCGCTTAGGTTGGAATAACAAAATATAGCTCACATAATTAAAATATTATTTAGTAGTACCCTTGAGGTGAAGGACAAGGAAAAAATGAGGCAAATTTAGCGTTATGACCTACATAGTTTATACAGCGTGACGAAAAGTAACAAAAGTGCTGTCAATCATTTATAAAAGATAATACTATCCCAATTTTCCAAGTATTACTTCCAATATTCAACAAAAATTTAATTTCGGAATATTTCTTACTTCTTTAGTCTAATAACCAATTTTCTTAAAAGTGCCGTGACTAGATAAAGCAAATCAAAAACTGCACAGTTTCTTATATATGAAAAGAGACAAATTTTAACCAAACATTTAATATGAAATAAATTAATACTACTCAAAATACAAGTTTAATGCAGATGCAAAATATTATAAAATTCACATAATGAAAATTAGGTAGCATATTGTTTAACACAGTGTTATGAAAATAATTATTTCAAGAAATTTAAAATTCACATAATGAAAATTAGGTAGCATATTGTTTAACACAGTGTTATGAAAATAATTATTTCAAGAAATTTACAGTCTAATTACGATTAAAAATGTAATAGACTGTACTTATAATTAAATAAATTAATGAAACCGGATGCTTGGTCCAATTTATATTAATTCATAAATCATACATTACTTATGAAAATTCTTTATAAATCAATACAGTATAAATAGATCTAAATCATAAATTTTGACATAACTTGACAATATCTCAAAATTAAATTATTAATAAACACATTAATAATTCCATTTAAACTGCATGTCAAGCTTACGTTGTTGTACAGAACCCAGCAGGCCATATCAACTGGAACAGGTCTACTCCACATCAGAGGCATACCGGTATTTTTATCCCAAGTCGGAGTTGGACTCATATGCGCCATTTTGCTTTCGATTTAACTACCTTTACGATGCTCAAATTTTATATTTAACACAGTTATACTTCAACTACGGTTAGATTACAATTGAATATGTCTTCGCAGTAGTTTTAGTTTAGCGATAGTTCAATAATACTGATAAATTATGCTTTGTTGGAATCATTTAGCAAATGACACAGTAACATGAAACGAACTCAACAACAGCAGCACCTTCTAGCAAACCGAAAAGAAAACAGCCACGGACGCTACCTAGATGTCGTTCCTGAAAAATGCTCATGTTATGACGTCAACATTTTGATGTTCAGAGATTTTTAAAACTGTGGCTGTAATCACTATAAAATTTTATTTTTATTACTATTATTATTATTATTATAAAAGAAACATATAAATGTTTTAATGAATAGCTCTAAATTTAAGAAAAGAAATTAAATAACAATCCCAAAACAAAAACTATTTTACTAATATTTATACATACATTATAGAAGATGAGAAAAACTTAAATATTACAAAAAAATTTATGATTGAATTTTTTATTATTGCATTTATTATGTTTAAAGCTATAATGAAAGTATATAAATGAAACTTTTTTGTTGTAAGAGGCTATTATTATGAAACGAGAATGTCAGATATTACCGTCACAGAATGTCACTTTTTTCCTTTGAAAATAGGTCTGAAAAACGGAGTGTATCTTATACGCCGACACTATAGTGTACTAACCGATACTACGTCCTATACGTCGATAATTATTGCGTCGATACGTCGTTTGTGAATGGGTCAAAGATTCATGGGACGCTCTGAAAACAGAGACAGTGGGTAAATCATTTGAGAAGTGTGGCATTAGTAATGCACTGGATGGTACAGAGGACAATTTGTTGTATGAGGACTCAGATACTGATTTTGAGGAGGTTTCAAATGACTCTTCATTTAGCTCTGGAGAAGAGTCTGGATTTTGACGAAGGAGATTAAAGGGTGTTCTTTCCCAGATAGATTGGGTATTTGCAGAAAGTATTACTTTGTATTTGTATTACTTTATATTTAAAATACTGTAAATTCTTTATAATGATCAGTAATAAAGTTATATCCTTCAAAAATGTGTAGAAAAAAGGGGTTAAGTCTTTTAGGCTGGTGCGTCTTATACGCCGACAAATACGGTAATAAAATACTGTAAATTCTTTATAATGATCAGTAATAAAGTTTTATCCTTCAAAAATGTGTAGAAAAAAGGGGGGTTGTCTTATAGGCTGGTGACGTCTTATACCCCGACAAATACGGTAATATAGTGACACTTTGACTATTTTTAAGTCTTCTATATTTATGCTGTCCTGAATCATTCCTTTCAATCATACGAAATTATCGGGTTTTAACGAATGATTTCTGCCACTGCAAATATCGTCTGCAAAAAACGTTCGCGTTGGCGTGTTTAATCACATTTTGTAAAACGATTTTTGGCATTTGAAACAAACACTGTTTTGTGAAATTTGTAAAAAAATATCGTTTTCATTAAGTACAAGGTGTCTGAAATGGAACTATCACGTTACCAGATTAGAACTATCATTTACAGTGCAGGATTTAAGTATGTTACACAAGCTATAGCTTAGCCACACCCCCCCCCAAATTTAAATATAGTATTAAAATGTCTAAATCCGGCTCTGATCATTTACTTCCAACTTCTGTTGCAAAATGTTAGCTACGGAATATTACCAAATCATGTGTATAGCTTTAGGTACTAACGATGTATCATATGACACCGTGAAGGTTTAGTACCGAAAGTTCAAACACAAGGAATATCACATTCAAGAAGCGCTCTAGTCAGCACAGCGCTCTAGTCGGCCTACTCGCACCGACGGTGCGAATAGCTAAAAGGCTATTCACACCACCTACATTCGCGCATGCGCACAATCAGCCCAAGTACCAGCATTTTATGCCGATTTCCATAAGGCAGGCGGTAGTGAGAGTGAAGGTTGTTAACCCTAACTCAGTAATAGAAAGGGTTGTTAATAGTTCACCAGCAAGAGAATAATTTGCAAGTAATAATTATCAGTTACAAAGACGAGGCCAATCTATATGCATGATAATGTTCAGGAAAGGATTAGATAAAATAGGCATTTAATGATGGTTCTAACTGCAAGCGAGGACGTGTAATTAGTTACAAAATCTTTAATGTATTGACAAAAAGGCTACAGAACTTACTAAAATTCCTTTATTTAACAGAGTAATTTTTATGCAAACTTAGACACTAGTCTTATAGCATATCACTGTCAGAATTTATTATTCAATAAGAAAACTTACTAAAAATTATAATATTCTTATATATTCATCACTTTTTCAGTATCCACACATGTTTACAGGTTCAAATGCTATATTTCTAAATCAAAGTTACTTATGAAATAAAACCTTATCAAATCTGATAAATCATTTGTGTGCAAATTTTTAAATCTAAATCTCTTACATCTCTTCTGTCTTTTAAATTACATTAATTAGAAATATTAGTACAAACACATTAATATTTCAAAGTTCTTTGAAATACTCCGTGTCCTGAAAATGCCAAGTATTTCTATTAAAAAAATAAACAGGCATACAAAATTCTTAATAACCAATATTATATGATTAATTTTTCATTTAATCGCTTTTAATTTATTTTAGGCCTAAATTTTCTACACAGAAATCCTCTGTCTAATTTGTTTTATCTTTTCTCAGACAAAAATTTTCATAATTAAAGTCTTGATTGTGCAAAACACATCTTTGAAACTAAATGTATTCTAAGAAGTACAAAAAGTGTAAACAAGATTTTGCCCCCCCCCCAAATCAGTCATTTAAACTATTCCAACCGTTCAGGAAAACGATAAACATTGCGAACTTAAAAATCTGCCCTTTATATATATATATACTTTAATAAAAGGAAATGTATTCCTTTTTTTTATATATCTAAGAAAAGGAACCCGTTTTCCTTTCTAATCTTTTGAAAGTCGCCAACGTTTAAAAGATGATAAACTACACCAAGGTAGTAACCCGCCTTTTTTAAAAAGGGGACCGATTGGGTTCAAATGACGGATCAAACAACTCAATGCGCATGCGTGGTTAATGTTGGTGCGAATAGCATCGGCTTGGCCTACTGATGTTGATGAGGTCCGCCTGCAAGAACTTGTGGAAGGAGATCAGTATGCAACTACTCGAAAGCTTGATCGAGTTGAACGTTAGTGCCATGTCGATTAACCGCCCTATGTATCGCATAAACTTGACGTACAAATTCAAAAGATGTTTGCCGCATGAGCTTACTCAAGCACATACCGGCACACGTGTTCAAGCCTGCACTACTCTGCTCGAATATTAAGGACCAAATTCTGGGCCGAATCGTGACTTGTGATGAAAAGTGGATTTACTTCAACAACACAGATCGAAAAGCAGGTTGGTCTGCGCCCGGTGAGCCCGTCAACAGCGTCGAAAGGCGCAATTTAACTAACAAAAAGATCATGCTTTATATCTAGTGGAACTGCCGCGGTATTATCCACAAAGAATATCTAGAAAAAGATAAAACCCTCGACAGTAAGGTGTACAGCGAGATCATATTCTGTGCTGACGCTGCTATGACGGAAAAATGTCGTACTGAGTTGCGTCGCAAAAAAATAATGTTCCATCAAAGATAATGCAAGACCACATGTGTCTGCATTCTGCGGCTGAACTGTGTACGGACTCGAATAGGATCTTCTGCCACGCCCACCATATATCCCGGCTTCACTCCTTCGGAATTTCTTCACACTTGCAGCTACATCTTGCTGGTGTTATCTTTCATTCTGCACAGGACGTCCGAAATGAAGTTGATCTGTCTTTGGATTCGCGGCCACTAAGTTTCTGGGTTGAAGGCTTTGAAAAACTACCCAAACGTTGGCGAAAAATCATAGATTTGGGTGCTGATTACTAAGCGCACTTAAAGGATTGCTTTCACGTTTTTTCTCTAACTTTATTAAGACCGTTTTTGGCGGAAAACGTTTGTTACAACCAGATAGATCAATTTTCCTTTGACACTGAGATAACGGAGATTTTTAACCCAGCTTATATGGACTTCGAATACTTTCTCTAAGTTATCACGATCACTGACTTGCATTACTATAGAGTTTAAGAAAAATATTGCGAAAATTTCATAAGAAACATGTCGAAGAAAATATTAAATACATTGTCTTCATAAGAAACATAGACTTTTAGAATGGTTTGATTTAAATTACTAAATGTCTCTCTTTGACTCAATAATTACTTCTTTATCACATTCCAGAGCAACAATTAAAAATGCACAACTATTGTATAGCATTGATGAACAAGGGTTATATTTTAACCCTTGTTCATCAATGCAACCCTTTATAACCAGAGAAAATTTGATGAAAGTCATGTCTTCCTTTATCTGCTCATTTTTCACGTCGAATTTTACTAAAACACTGTTGTCTTTATTGCATTTTTTGTAAATCTTAAGGCCTGAATTGAGTGTTTCTCCACCAAATTCGAAACATTTGACTGCATTCTTCTAAAAAGAAAATATTCAGAACTTATTACGAAGAAAAATTTGTACATGTTGATTAAATTTCATAACATTTGCTTACCTATGAAATTTGATTCCTAATCCATTCCTAATATATTACTAATTTTCACTTTCCAAATGCATTTCGTATGAGATAAATAGGCAGTTTGGAAAATTTTACTTACTTAGCGCTTTGTATTGCATTTTGAACCAAGTTTATATTTTAATTTTCATTATATGTCATAAGAATATTTAAAGAAATGCCATCTTTTGTTTCCTTCTGCTTGCACAATTTTAAGCAGTTTATATTATACAGACCTTTTTACTGTGTTTTCAGAAAGATCTTTAAGGTTAAACTGAACGTTTCTTACTAATTTTGAAGATTCTGGATATATTACACTCAAAAGAAAATGTTCATAACGTAGTAGCAAAATAATATATGCACGTACGTTTTTGATTAATATTCAAATTAATGCTTTCTATAACATTTGATTTTAGTCAAATACTGAAATAATTATTAACTTCCAGCTTTTGCAAATAAGTTCGTAGTCATAAATGTTCAGTACAGAAAATTCTCTTGAATTACCAAAATAGAAAATGCACAAATTTTCCTAAAAATTAATGTATTTGTTTCTTTGCAAACCTCTACATTTAATTCCGCAATGTGTATTTTTCTTTATCACAAAATTTCGAATCAAATTTTTAAATAATTTCATATTCCACGAAAT